TTCACTACAGAGGTTGAGAGGAAGGAAAAATGCCCAGTTTTCAGATATTTGAGATACTTGATGCAACACCGCCCCTGAGACAATAAAAATGTGCTCAGGCACCTGACCTATGAGGCTTAAGTCACTTATACAAAGTCCTACAGGAAGTCTATGAAAACTATAGGTGTTCGGTCCATACAATTCACATCGTCCCCTAGTTCCATTAATTCTTCATTTAAAAAATGAGCTATCCTTGAACTCACCATAAAAATCATTAATAATTTATGCTTTGACAACTTCTCAAAATGAGGTACTTTCAAACCACATAGCAAGCATTACCATCTCTGCAGTAAGGACTATTCATTTATTGTTGCTGTAGACCTACTAGACTATGACACACAACAGCTACAAGCATTAGGTAGAAATGGTGTATTTGTACCAGCCCATTAAATTTAGAAGGTTTATTTTTAACCTACAAACTTTTATAACCAGTATATATGGCAAAAATATAAAGACAGTTTTATTAGCACTTGTTACCAGTCTTATTTCAGGAAAAAACAGAAACATAGAACCCAAGTGAGCTGTGCAGAGGATCTGCCCAAGGATGAGAAACTAGAACCAGCTTCATGACAAAATTACACCTGAGCGCTGAACCAAGCACCCAGTTTGCACAAACAGCAGTGCGAGAATCCTTAAAATCAGAGGGTTTTGGGAAAGCTGTAAAAAGCAGGCCTCAGAAACAGCAGAACTGCAATTAGAACTATGCAGTAGTCATAAGATTTGTCAGCAGAAAAGTTATATGAGATATAGAAAGCAAGGACAAATAGAACAATGGTCTGTATGTTAACACTTGGCTAGAATAACTCTCTAAGCTGCAGAAAAGTATATCTAGCAAGATATTAGGAAGCTCTAAGCTTAATAATGGAGCTCTGTGCATTGTATTTTAAGGCTTACAAGTAGGTTTTGTATTTGAAATAAGCAAGCATTGTTTTAACCAAAGGTACGTGTACTTATAGTGGGTGGATAGAACTACTGTCAATATGGTTTTGCTTTTGTGATTGGTCAAAAAACTTTCAAAGTGCATTGTAACATCACATTCTGCGGCTGCTGCCAAGGACGTGAGCTGCTGGCATCTTCCCATTGTCCCAACCTTGTAGTGAGACTGATGTTTGGAAAATAAAGCAGCTTGAGACATGTTCCAGAGCAGTCCTGTCCCGTTTGAGATTCTGTACATAAACTCATGGCCAGCATTACAGCAGCAGTTAAGCTTAAGTTGATGGGGCCATCCATGGGTATCTGTGTGGATGGGCACCCGGGGCTGGCTCATGGGAAACATCTGGGCTCATACTGGAGAATTCAGAAGGTGGGGTTTATCCACTCTCTGATTTTCTGCTTATCAGGGAGCATAGGCACGTTCCCTTGAAACTCCACAGTCACGGAAGAGAACACCTGAAGGCGCATGTTAAGCCCGCCCTTCTCTTGGCCTGAGTGAGGTGCTGCTGGAGCAGCCCGTCTCCTAAAAGACACAGTGAAGCACAGGAGAGAGACGGGACTTTTTGGGAGAAGGCTGCTGAGCGCACCCACCACAGCACCCAGAAATGGGCAGGCACCAGCCCTTCATTGGGGGTTTACAAAGGGAGATGCCTGGGGAGCTGTGGGCTCTGAGGGAAAAGCTGCTCCACACGTCCTTGGGCATAGCCAGAGGCGCTTTCTTGCCTTACTGGGATGCCCTGTCCCAGAGCAGGAAAATAAACTGCGGAGGAAAATTCTGGGACAAAAGGCAGCTGTGTCAGGCTGGAAGAGCAGGAAGGCTGAGGAGAAACCAAAGCCCAGGCGCCGCTGGAGCCCCCGGGAAGGATTTAAGGGCATTAAGGATTTAAGGTGGCTCTCTGTCACCCTGCCCGGCTCCGGGACAGGGACACCGAGGCCCAGTGACAGCTGCAGACCACAGGCCAGGACCTGCGGCACTGGAGGCAGCCAGGTTGTCCTGACATCTCGGGGTTTTCACGTTGTAGCTCTCCCGCTTTCATTAACCACTTCACTTCTTTTTTAATACACTTATATGATGTGTCGCACAAACCACCCTGCAACCTCATGTTTAGTAAGTGCGTACAGTCCTAAAGCCATGCAGAATCTGAAAATAAAAGATTCCTTCCTCTAATAACATGGAGATTTGCATGGAGCTGTGTTCCCAAGCCCTGGCCCCTTGGCTGTCCTGGGAGAGGCCTGAGAGCTACCAGCCATGTGCCCAGCACTGCTTCTGGCAGGACAAAAACCTACTGTGCAGGCTTCGTGATCAAATCTGGTTAAAAATTACAAACTATCATTAATACTAGGTAGTATATCTACCCTGGAGACCTCAAAAGAGCTATTCCAGTCTTTTAGTGTATTTCTTTTCCACTCAGGAAGTGATTTTGTCAAAACATATTTGAAAATAAAAGCCCTGGGTAGAGGGCTCTTTGCTCCCTTTTCTTGCTGCCATTCCAGTTACTTCTTACAACAACCAGGGAAATATTCAGAAATTATCCTTGTAGGGATTTTAATGTCAAGCAAAAATCTGTTGAGAAACAAGTGCACTATCGGTGCAAAACCAAATCCACAGTAATGGTTTATTAGAATGGGAACAGTTTAAAGGAATCTGCCTCCCACAGGAGAGCACTGCAGCCAGCATCCCAGTCTGCTACTGTGCTGTAGGGAAGTCCATTGTGCTGGGAAGGAAGAGCTATGAAGACAGAACAGCAGTTTTTCTTGTGAACAGTTAGCAAAATTTTTCTCCAGTGCTTCCACTGCTGTCCAAACCAGATAGCAGTTCCCAAATCATTTACCAGAGTTGCAAAACCATAGATCAGAATCACAGATCTCAAGTTGGAAGGAACCCATAAGGATCGAGTCCCACTCCCTGTTCCTTGCAGGACTCCCCAACATGAAACCCAAGATCAACAGATTCCCTTCTATCCTCAAGCCCAAGCCTTTGGCTACAAATACCAGCTTGTACTGAGATGGGGCCGTGGGTAGTGAGCAAACCAAGAGTATTTTATCTTTCTGCATCATTTCTCAGGGTTGCACTAAATCAGATTGTCTGCAATGACAAAGACCTCAGTTCTGAGATCTCAGAACTTTTTGCCTCCTGTGACATGAGGCATGGCTGCTTTTACAGTGAAAAGGAGGAAAAATTATTTTGCCTGTAATTTTGATCATTTTTTATTTCTTTCAATCCTATGGGACTATCAGGAAAGCTAATTAGATGTTCCCTTACATTGTTTGTGAAATAAAAATGCAATTTGAGTAACACTTTATAATCATTCAGGTATTACTGTAATGCAGTATAAGAAATTATCCAACTCATTAACCATGAAAGAAACACTGCAAGTCCTGGAACACAGAGAAGGCACCACTTGTCTACTTTTTAGTATCTTTATGTAGATTCTGTGTGTGGTGTGTCTGTGCGGAGCTGAACAGCCAGAAGAGGGTAGCATAAGTTAGTTAATAAACCTCATCTGTAAAGCAGAGTTATTTTTGAGAGAAACACCTACTTACATTTCTTGCCTCAAGGTAGAAAAACATAACATTGAAAAACTCATCACCAAGCTTTTGTCAAAACGTGGGAAGGCAGATTTGCAGTCAGAACTGACAAGGATTAGACTGATAGCAGGATGCAGAGCTTTTTGCACTCTATTAACTCTTGTTTGACCAATGCCTCCTTTAATAAAAATGCACACCCAAAGCAACTTCATTACTTTGATCTTAGGGGATTGCAGCACAAGTCAGCAAAACTAACAGTGTTACTGAGTACATTCTGGCATGTGATCTTGTCTGCAGCAGATCTGAAAAGTCAGGTGGGGAAGGCATGGGAATACATAACACTGAGAGCAACTTAAGGGGGTGGTTCCAGGCCATATAATAGAATATCAAACAGAAGCTTGTTGAATTCAAGAGACAGATGCATATTTGACAACCTGAATCAAAAGGCTCCTTTTGCTCCTGCCTCTAATGTCTACCCAAAATAGAATGTACCCCCAGAGTCTGTATGCAGTAAGTGAGTATTCACAAACGGAATGTTGCTGTATCTAGCAGAGGCAGAGACATCAGCTCACAGGAACGTTAGAGAATCCTCTTCTATGTTGGGGATTGTCCCCTATCAATGCACATGACTCTAAACAGAAAATGCTGCTGGGCATTTCATTATACAGAGACATATCTACATGAGTTAACTTGCAGTTTTTTCTTTATAGAGACCAAACAGCAGAACTCTTCTCTAAGAATTTTATAGGGCTTGCCTGAGGAGAAACATGAAAGGACAAGGAAGACTGGGGGATGGCTGTTGTTATTTGCATCACAGTAGTGGTTAGAAATCCCAGACAGGATCAGGACTCCACTGTTTGAAATGTTGTACACACACGCAGGATGGGAAAAGCTGTAGCCTGAAAAAGGAAGCTGGAGCAGACAAAGTGAGGAGGGAAACAGGTCTGAAGACATGAAATACCGTGCCCAGGAGCTTACACTCAGTAACTGGACAAGGAATAGAAAATTCCTGTTCTGTCAACTTGCTCCTGGCAGAGCTGCTTTAAATTGCTCAGAGTCTGGTAGGTGAGAAAGACTGTGTGTGTATTTACACCTTGGAAAGGCATGGAAGAGATAATACACCATGTATTCATAGTTTATTTGTACTGTATAGCTGAAGCAAAGTGGAAATGCAAGCTGAATATTTTTTCTAGAATTCTTTTCCCTCCACCCTTTCAAAAATAACACATATTGGAAACACTGGAACTTTCCATATCAAAGACTGTAACATCAGACTAAATGCTAAACTAGCTGCCCTTCACCCTGCTGCTACAATGCAGTCACTTTTGTAGCTTGAGTCTGCCCACTGTCCCCATGGCACATACACAGCAAACAGCAGCTGGAGAAGGGAAAGGGGACAGAAAATGCTGTATGAAGGTGGCATTAGGATGTCAGACTAATTTCATCCCCTGAGGGGTTTAGTTTCAGGTATTGTGAAAACCTCTATGTGAGAGATTCAGAAAGCCTTTAAAGCAGTGCTGTCCCTTCAAATGACCAGTTGCAAACTTGCTCAGAATTTTCCCTGGACTTGGCTGTAAGTTACAGAAGGAACTTCTAAAATGGCATTTAAGTATCCAGCTGCCATGCCTGCTTCACTCAGTCCCATGTCTCTGGCCATTTTTTATGTGATATAGAAGCAAAGCTAACTAAAAAGATTCTTTCTGGACATCATCCTGAATGACGCATGAAAGCTGCAGTAACAAGCTGGTTCCTATAATATTTCCTGCCTTTGCATTTTCACTTAGCTGGCACACAAAAGGTACATTATGGGAAGTGATGAAGTCCTTTTCCTGCATACATTCTGCTCTGCACTGCACTCCTTGGGGATCATTTGCCATTTGTGTCAGTCTTGGTTGGCTCAGCTTCCCTGGGGAGCTGCCTGTCCATTAAAAGGAGTGTGAGGATGTCCACGCAGAGTCAGACAGTCTGGTGAGGGTCCCTTCCCCTTGTGTTTCCATGCTGCCAGACATCATTCCCTGCAGAGGGATTTGCACTGATGATGCAGCAGGTAAGGGGACATTACCCCTTAAAAACATGCTTGGAGGGCTGCTGTTCACCTCACTTCCTGGGTTGGCAACATTTACAGCACTGTTGCTCACTGTCCACATGCAAGGGTAGTGGCTGGAAAAAAAGCAGCACAGATTGAATGACTTAATTCAAAGCATTTAGCCCACATAAGATTTGCCACAGTGAAGTCAATTTCATATCTGTTCAAAGGCAGGTATTCAAATCAAGTTATCAAACTAGATCAGCCTTGAAGATCTCAAGTGAAAAATCACCAGCAACCATCACACCTGGTGACCTTGGAGAGAGGCATGATGAGAAATGTACAAGTATATGTGAGGTTTCAAAATTTAAGGATATTTTTATGTGCCTCTGTGACTTCTCTTCTTCCCATCTCAGGAACGGAGTCCAAAGAGTTTCTAGAGAGGAAGGCCACAAAATCTCAGGATACTGCCTAGCTGCTATGCTATAAACACTGAGAAGAAAACCTACTCAATCAGATAACAATGCATCTGAAATTGCTGCTGATTTTCCTGACACCAAAGTTAGAGAAGAGATTACTGCATTTATTTGGGGAAAAGAAGGGAAAATATTTGATAATTAATTGATTCTCTAGGTCTAAATTCCATCTGCTCCTGGAATAGAATTCTTATTTCATGCAGGATAATAGTATGAATTATAGGAAGAAAAATAATTTGGTTTTAAAATGCTCACAGATTGTAGAGACCTGGTTTTCAGCAGTGCTGGGGAAAAATGAAGCTCCCATAGATTTAAGAGCAGAAGATAATTAGCTTGTCAGAAAGATCTGCCCAGGAATATTGAATTGGGCACTTAGGACACATTTAAAATCCTGAACACTGATTAAAGTTTGGAACAAAGGGCAAATCACCAGGATAGTCCTACAAGCCTCAGTGCTCCTCATACCAGCAGTTTTCCTGTAATCTTACCTGGGTCCAGGGCTGGTACCTCCCTTTGTATGTGGCAGTGACAGCAAATTCGTGTGTGGAGAGGATGGCAAAGTCCAGTTGTCATGTCCTGAGAATACCTGAAGATTATTGCTGGAGCTCTCCAATAAATTAACTTCGGGAGGAAAATAAAAAGCAGGAAACAAATCCTCAGTGACTATTGCAGATATTGTCCTAAGACAGCAAAGCACAGACAGGCTTAAGGCAGCAGTCTGATCATGAGGTCCCCAACCACAGGTTGGGATAGGACAAAATTCCCAACCACAGGTAAAAAGGCAAAATTCCCATGTTCATTCAGAGAGTAGCAAGGTGCCATTGCAATCCCAGGTGTGATAAATGAGAAGGTAAAGCATGACAGACAGAGGATTTTCATTTCTGTAAGTCTGACTAATAGTTTTGCATAATTGACATATATCAGGCAATGTTTTGATACACATTTCCTTATAATTTGAGCTAAAATACTCAATAAAGTTTTATAAATACTGCCCCATTCCTGGAAAGTTTCAAGACCTGGTTGAACGGGGTTTTGGGCAACCTGATCTAGGGGAAACTGTCCCTACCCATGGCAGGGGGGTTGGAAAAAGATGATCTTTAAGGTCCTTTTCAAGCCAAACTATGAAGTATTTTCTATGATAAATACTCCCATTAAACAGGAATTCTTGCTAAATTATAATTAGCAAGCAGATTACTTTATCCCTACTCTTCTTTCTGACTCACTTCTTCTAATCAAAGTAGAATCAATTTCTGGAACTCTGCACCCAGACCTAGAAAGTGAAAGGGACTCAAAGGATGTTCTGACAATACCAAAATGCCTTTGTCTCACATCAGCTCCTACCTGAAACCTCCTGCTTTGACTCGAGAGTTCAACTGCGTCATGGCAGGACATCAAAAGAAGACCTGCAGTGCTTTTTTTGTATAACTGGAGGCTGGAGTGAAAGCAAGATCATACACTCTCATTTATCATTAAGAGAGTTTATAATTAAGAGTGCAGTAGGTACCAGCTCTTGGTATCTCTTGGTTTGCTGCCTCAGCCACCCTGGGTGCACAAAGGGTTCTGTGCAGGTTTTTCCAGAGACTCACCATGTCCATTCTTAGCCTCAGCTCAGGCTGGCTCCAGTGTTTGTGCTAACCTAAGGCAAGGGGCAGGCAGGCAGGGGCAGCAAAGCAGCGCTCCAGGGATACCTGTAGGGGAGTGATTCCTCTGCATGTAGGAGGGTGGGTATGGAGCAGCCCGATGGCCTCGCAGGGCTGAGTATCTCTCGCAGCTGTGGGCAGCCTGCAGAGCCGGCCGAGGCAAAGGTCCACTGTACTGGTAATTAGAGCTTCCCGAGGCACACATTGGGTCTGGGCTGGAAATCAACCAGCCACCCACTTCGAGGCAAAAGAGAGAACAAAACTATTACTGTTGCTGCATTAAAGTGCTGCAATGCAACTAAGAAATAACCAGCCTTCTTGCAGAATCAGCTGTGCCTCAGAAATATCAAGCAAATTCTAAGATACTGGTTTGTGAAACAACTGACAAAAAATACCAACTCTCCCCTGGCCCACCAACTCTAAAAACAAGACCTGAAAGCGGTCAGAAAATGTCACAAACATTAAAGAACAAATGAAAGAAAAACTATCAATAAAGCAAATGCAACCTCTACTCCCCCTCATTTTTTTTATCTGTTTACCTATGAAAAGTAATTTTATAGGTGACAAAAGTACTCACAAATACAAAAAAGGGGTAAGAAAGCCCTAAAAATACCATATATAATCTTGATTTTAGATTCCTTTTAATATTGAAAAACTGGATTGTATGGAAAATGATCCCTCTGCAGGACCTCTCACATTATTTCCTACAGTGAGATCTCTTCGATCTTCTAATTATTTTTAAAGGGTCCTTCTCTATTAACACAGTTCAGGATTCAGTAAGTGACTGGTATGAACCAGTTAAACAAGGCCCAGGCTCCCAGCACCCATCGTATCTCACAAAACTTGCAGCTGACATGAATAAAAACCTTACAGTGAGAATATGTCATATGCTGACCTTCAGAGACTGTCTCTGGAGCATCCTTAGAATGGTTTCTGAAAAACAAAATACTTAGTGGTAAGTGTTCTCATTGAAAAATTACAAAAGTTATAACTAGAACTGTTCAGTAAAAAATTGGAGAAGTGAGCAAAAAAGGAGGGAAATCCCTCTTTAACCTTGCTAGGCAGCAGTAGACCTTCATATATTCTGCCATAAAGGAAGCAGGAGCTTTTGTTTGATGACATAAACAAAAATAATCCTAAATTTGTGCCATATTTGGGAGCTGGACCTGGAATTTTAAATCTACCTATGGGCACCATTCCTGCTTGCAGGAAAGCTGAAGGCAGCATTCTCCCTTCCTCAGCTGGTAACCCTGACACTGAGACACAGAAGCTTCTTAAGTGGTGACAGGAATGAAAGGAAATACAGATTCTCCTGCAGGCACATGGCACATTTCACATGTCAGAAGATATGCAGGTCCAAACAAAATTAATTAGAAATTATAGGTTGGAATGCATCATTTGGATACCACCGTGCATAGATGTGGGTGATGCAAGGAAAATTTTGCAAGATAAACTACAATTAATTTCTGATAGAAGCGTCTCTGAGACATCTTACCTTTAATGAACTCATCATAAATTATCACATAGACTTAATAACAGTAGTGTAGTTACATTAGAGTTACACTGTAATTTCACTTCAGTTACGCTTTTTGACATCTGGAGTTAACATTTTTTCTCCCTGACCTGTCAAATTACAGATTCACTGAAGTGCAAGTACACTGTAGTGAATATATGTGAGATATAACACAACTGGGGAAGCTCACACCATCTCATTTCGGGCTTCCTGTGTAGACAGAGAAAAGTGCCATGATCCCCAAGAGCATCTTCACACACCTGAACACCTATGGTAATAATTGTACAGCCTCCCCAATGATGTCATTGGAGTGACTCTGAATTTAAGACAGCAGAAACAAGAATCAGTTATGGAATTTATCTTTCATATGGCAATGTCACAGTTTTAACCATATCAGCAGCAGCAAAAAGCTACTGGATCAAAAAAACAAAAGATGAACTCACCTTTCCTTTGCATCCAGGAAGGCTTTGGCAAAGGGATTATACTTGATTTTGAGAGCTGTTATCTTGAGTTTACAGAAAACAAGGCATGTTAGTGAAGGCAATTTGAAACAGAAACTTGACAAAACATCCTCCAGAGTAATCTGAGTGGAACTGCCTGGGTTAGCCTAAAATATATCCCCATGCTTGATGTTTTCCAGGGCTGGGTAGGAGACTGCTTTGTTGTGTACTGATCAGTGCCACAGGCAAAACACCAGTTGGAGCAGCCTGGCATGAGCTGGTCTGGTAAATCTGGTGGAATGGTGAACCCTTTCAAGAGGGTTTAAAAACTGAATTCCTATCAAGTACAAATAAATTGGCAGCAACATTACCTAGGGGATGTGGCACAGGAATAAGCAATTCTTACAATCCAAAGCATCCCTCAAGGGAAGAAATTTTCCCATGAAGTATTGTGCTGTTCTGCAGTTGTATTTATTATAGGGAACATGGAGAGATAGGGTTATCACTATAATTATCAGTTATTGCTGGAGAAAGATATTGGACTTGACTGTAGCTGACAAAATGCTGTTTGGCTTTTTTTTTTTCCAGTAAAGGATTGGGATGCCAGGACAGATGGACCAGTCTGGAACAGCTGTGGCCAGATATTAAGCTAAACCTGGCTTAGTACTGGAGCCAGACCCTAGATTAGTCAATGTTCTACTGCAGAGAAAAGACAGAGTACTAGACTGGATGGAGTATTACACTGCATGAGACTGGTGGGGAAACAAGAAAAAGGCACGCTGGTCTTGTAGTTAATCAGCTTCTGACAGAGCTCCTCAGTGGTGCCCAGAGCAGACCGTGGCAGCCGCCTACCTCTTCATTCTGGTAGGCAGTCACTGCTATGAACTGGGTCTCAGGGAAGGAGCAGTTCATCACCATCCGGTGGGGGCCTCCTACGCGAACTATGTGCACCTGGGGCTCGTATTTGTGCAGGGAGTTCAACATTATCTGTAGGAAACAAAACAGAGAGACAGCCCCCAGTGCCACCCTGGTACCTCAGAGCCACCCTCTGGCTCTGTGACGGAGCAGCTGCCACTGCTGAACCTCCCCAGCCAGCAATTGCTGAAACAGGAGGGCAGTTGCCTTCTTCCCCTGCAGTAACCACAGGGCTGAACAGAATGAGACTTCACTGGACTGTATTTAAGGCTCTGGATGCAGCAGCATCAGTGAACATTTGTGTTAGCAGCAGCTATGGCGCTCAAATCACTGGGCTTCCACTGCACTAGAGGCTGCTGAAACAGCTCAGGGGCACTCCCTGTCCTCCTTCTGCTGTCTAGAAGACTCAGAATCACCATGACAGAAAAGGTGCCAGGAGGAAGCTAAGGCAGTCACCCTGTCTCCTCTCTGGGCAAGATGAAGTGTATCTAAACGAGCCTTGGCAGATCGACTAACCTGGTGCTAAAAGCTGTGAATAGCATTGATTCCAGGAAGTCTATTAGGTCCTTTAATTGGCTCTAGTGCAAGATAAAGGTTCTTTTTTTAAATTTATACTTTGCAAAGTGATGTATACATACATACATACCTATATATATGTAAAAGAAAGCAGCTATTAGTATAAAGTACTGATAGTTATCAATTACTTTCTGATACCATCAGAGAAAGGGCAGCTGAAGCACAGAGTGGGGACATGGTTTACTTCAACACTGTGGTCATGATTTCAAAAGAAAGCAAAGGAAGCTTCAGTCATTTGTTATTTAATAACTTTTGTTTGGGTTCTGTTTATCATATGGCTTTTCCTCTTCTGCTGTCTTCTATTTTTTTCTCCTTCATATATATACATAATGTTCCCCTGTTTTATTCCCCAGGGACTCTAACCCTTCAAATTTTCTGTAGCTTTTCCCTCCCGTGCATATTTTTCTGAGGCTTTTGACTTTTCTGAGATCCTGGATACAAGACAAGCATTTGCAAATTCAGATCATATTCTATGGTCTATTATAATTCTTGTGTGCTGGTTCTACATATGACTAAGGAAAAGCCAGATCATCATCCTGTTCTGCAGTCTGTAAAACCTGAGATAATTTCCTACCTCATTAGAGCACTAAGCTTATGGAGGTACCTCACAAAACTAATGGAAATAACAGATTGAGAACATTTGCATAAAAGGAATTGATTCTGAGCTGACAAGTATCATCCACTGTAGGAGTTTTGTACAAAACAAGCAAACAAAAGGTCTTGTGCAACGTTTTGCCTTTAGATGCATCATCAAAAATAAAGTATGAAACAAAACTAATTTTCTTGTTTGCATTTTTAAGGGGTTCAAAGAGAAAGTCACTTATTTCTGTCTGGTACATGTGGTTTCTTTCCAAAGGCCAAAGCTGATTCAATAGAATATTGATAATTATCATGATGCAGAAGCAGACATAGTAATTATTTCATTTAGGAGCAGCCTTTTATTCTGCCATCTGACTCCTGCCAACATTCCACTTACACCAAACAACATTGGAGAACACAACAAAAACCTAATACCCGTGGCCATTTTTCCCCCTTTTCTCTGAAGTCCGATGTAAAAATCCCCAGCACACAAGACCAACTCTGAAAAGACCCCTGACGATTAAATAAACCACAGCACTCTGTCTCTCTTAACATCAAGAAGACCATTAAAATCTGAAAGTGCCAATTAAGGCCTGTTTATCCCTGTTTACATTTGGCCTCAAGAGAATAATTGACATCTGTGGGTGAAGAGGCCTGTAAGGGCTCCTATAATTATATAAATGCACCCTTGATATTTCTTGATTGTTAGGTGCTTGGAATTGAAGCCAAGAGGTGATGTGGAAACATCAGGCCATACCTGCCCACTCCCATTGAGCTTGTTTGTAAGTTTGACTTTGCTGAAGGAAATGGCAGCTTTCATCCAATGGGCCCCAAAGTTGGGAGAGTCTGGGTGGATGTAGACACAGGTGTGGTTTGGTGGCTCTGGTTTCCCAGCTGGTACCCACTCCCCATTGACGTATTTCCAGCGGTGGCCGTCGGTCGGAGCGAAGTCCAGCAGGAAAGAGTACATGGCATTTGGATCCAAGCCTGACACGCTGATCTTCAAAACAGGGAACATTCGCCTGGCCAGGGAAACAAAGAAGGGGGACACCACTGGAAGCTGGTCTTGAAAGACTCTCCTCAGTATGTTTGTTTCCAGATGCTCACTGACTAGTTCAGTATAAAAAAAATCCTCCCTTCCTTCAATCCACCCTTGCCATCAGACCTTGCACTTGGCAGTTTCTCCAGTAATTTGGTCCCATACTTCCATGTTCCCTGACCTCACCAGCTTGACCATGTCCTTTTGCTTTTAGTTCCATCTTACACGCAAGCTCTAAACTTCTACCCAGCCTTCCACTATCTCGTATGTTTAAAACTGAAATCCTGCCTTTGTTTTGTTTTGGGGAAATGCTCCTTTTGTGCCTAAAGGTCCAATGCCACCTTTTCTCAATCCCCGTTTATTATTTCTTTTTCTTTTTAAAGGAGATTTGCAGGAGCTCACATCTTGATTTTCAGTGGTTTTCTATCTGTCTCAGTGCTTGTGATTGATGCCACACAACTCTGAATTGGCACCTCAGTGCCTGAAAGTCTGCAGCAATACAGCTGGTAGGCTACGACTCTTTTAGGAACTGGGAGTAATGTGTGGACAGCAAAACAGAGGGGTCTCCCAGCAAAGTTATCTTATTCACTAAGCTTCTTAATGTGTCAAGGAATACATCTAATTGCTGTTACATATCGCCTCCTACATTCCTCTTCCATGAGTAACCAGCCTCCCTGCCTCAGGCACCTCCATACTGACCTCTCCTGGCAACTGCAATTTCTCCATGCCACATTTTTATGGGCCATAAATGCCAATGAAGGCAAACGAATCTTTGACGTCCTTTTCTCTATGGGTACAGAGAGAGTACACCAAGCAACCAGAGGAATGGTCTGAGGTCCATGGGGCTAAGGTAAGGTAGCTCTCGAGGCTTAGGTAACTGTACAAGACATCCAAAATACACAAGGAGAGAGCTAAAACTCCAGACTGCCTTAAAGGACTGGAAGTCTGCCCCTGTAGTCATACTCTCTAGTGACACCCAAATGCAAATTGCTAACAGCCTCCCATGACATTCCACTCTCCTTTCTGGATACCTTTATAAAGTTTTTGCTGCATGCATTCAGCACCTACTGCTGACAGGAAAAGACAGAATTTGAGAAATTTGAGATTTATCATCTAACATTGATACAGGGTCAGTGCAGTATTGAAGAAGGTATCATAGAATGGTTTGGGTTGGAAAGGACTTAAAGACCATCTTGTCCCAGTCCTTGGATTGGTGTCCCCAACACCTTCCACTAGACCAGATTGCTTCGAGCCTCATTTAATCTGGCGTTGAACACCTCCAGGGATGAGGCATCCACAACTTCTCGGGGCAGCCTTTTCCAGTGCCTCACCACCCCTTATATCACTCTATGTCCTGACAAAAAGTCCCTCTCCAACTCTCTTGCAGCTCCCAGGTACTGAGAGGCTGCTGTAAGGTCTCTCTCCTCTCCAGGCTGAACAACCACAACTACCTTAGCTTTTCCTCATAGGACAGGGTTCTCTCCACCCGACTTTCTCCAACAGCTCAATGTCCTTCCTGTACTGGAGACCCCGGAGCTGGATGCAGCACTCCAGATGGGGTCTCATGAGTGTGGAGCAGAGGTGAGAATCCCCTCTCTCACTCTGCTGGCTGTGCTGCTTTAGATGCAGCCCAGAATGCATTTGGCTTTCTGGGCTCCCAGTGTACTTTGGTGGGTCGTGTTGTGCTTCTTGCCCACTAACGCTCCTGAATCCTTGTCCTCAGGGCTGGTCTGAACCTATTCTCCATCCAGCCTGTATTTCTTGCAGAACCATAAAGTTCACTTTATGAAGTTTGCATGGGCCCCACTCTCAAGCCTGTCCAGATCCCTCTGGATGACATCCCTTGCCTCCACATGTCAACCAGAGCACACAGATGGGGGTTGCTGGCAAACTTGCTGAGAGTGTGTCCCTGTCACCAGCAAAGGTAATGAAAAGCTCCAATCCCAGTATTGACCCCTGAGGAACAGCACTCCTCACTGGTCTCCAAGGTACTGTGAACCATGACCTTTCTAATTCAATGGCTTAGTCAAGGATTTATATGCTACATGTGTCTTTCTGATCAGGATCCACCAGCTACCAAACTGGAATGTGATAAAAAATATGGATGCATTGCTCGTCCCAGCACTTAGATCTCTCCCAGTCAATGTTCAAAGTAACACATTTAGATACATAGCTGAAATTGAATTAGATGGAAAAATTAATCCACATGAAAATTTAATTTCACTAGATTGTGCACATCTATGTGTTACACACAGATTGTTAATTCCTCTGCCCACAATGCAGGAAGGCTGCTCTGCCTTTTTATTTGAGAGGCTCCAGTTTATTCCCAAAGAACCTATAGACCAATCCAGAAGAGAATACAGTCACCACCAATTTTAACCTCCTGTAGCACTAAGATTAGAGCATTTCCCTGTGTTAACCAGTTTCACTCCCAGTAATTGCCTGCCTTGCTTGGACCAGCATGTTTCCACTGTACAGACTCTACCTAACATTTCCCATGATTAAGTACCTTCACTGCTAAAATCTATCTTCTAGCATGGCAAATTGTGATTTCTCCAAATTTGTTTCAGTCGCAATGTTTGTTTCAGTGATCAGGTAGGTGCACACGTGACCTCCACTGCTGCAATAGCCAAGCACTTCAGCCTCTTCGATTTATTTAGAGCAAATCTGGTGCAATTACTCCACAGTACAGACCTTGAGTGGGAAGATGTTTGATATCAAACTTGAATGTGCAGTAAAGTTGCTTTAGCATTCAAGCCTGGAAAGAGCTTCTTATCCCCCACTCATGGCTGCATGCACTGATCCCCTATTCCTGTCTCCAGGCAATAACAGGGATTACAAAATCTCAGGATACTGCCTAGCTAATATGGTATAAACACAGAGAGAGGAAACCTACTCAGATAACAGTGCTTTTGCTATTGAAGTGTCAATTGAATACAATAGGTATGACTAAAATAGGGGGTAGTTTCCCACTTCATCAGCTGCACCCGTTGGGATGTATTTTGTGATATAGCACGTGGTGTAATTTTATTGATGCCTGTGCTGTTCAGAATATATCTATCTCCCCTAGGCATATTGCTAGGGCAGGTGATTATTATAATGAAGTATGATACAGCCACAGAGACATATCTGTATATTAACACTGAAGTTGGTTCACCTAACTGTGACATTTTGGGACCCTCAGTACCAATTAAAGATGACTCAGAGCAGATGGAATTGTGCATGCTAGAATTTGACACTTGAGGATCACTAATCAATTAGACTTTCATTCTCTGGGATACTCCCGTATCGGGTTTCTGTTTAATTTCTGAGCTTTGCTAACAATGTGCCTATCCACACCAACTGTTTTAGTTATCACACACAGAAGTTCAGGCTGGCTCTTCTCTTTCACTGTAGAACACAGTTTTCAAAAACATTCATCTAGCTTTCAGCAAGAACGCTTTAGTTGTACTCATTTAGCAGCAGCAGAATAAGGTCAATATATTTTTCTACTGAGAATCTCTCTGGAGACAATCACTGAAGAATCCTGAACCTGAGAAAAACTCAGCACTCATAGGAAATTTTCTCAAGTTTGTCTCCTTTTGAATAGCATGGTTCAGAGTTCTTTGCTGGAGGCCACAGTTTGTATTTTCTTTGTTTTAGTGTGCTGCTGTGTTTTTTGATGCAAGATATTTTCAGAAATGTAGAAAATCTTTTTTATCATCTCTGATACTACAGTAACTATGTTAAAAGGATTAATGCAAATGGCAGTGTGATATACTTTTGTATTTTTTTTATTTTTAGATTGCTGTAGTTTGATCATAAAGAACCTATTTCTGCTCTCATTGACATTTCTAGAGATGTCACTGGCTATAATAAAAGTACAATCAGGCTGATAAGGAGTATATAAGTTAAAATAAAAAATTCAGACAGCTTACACAATGAAATAAAAAGTACCCAGGCATATTCAGATAATAAAAGATTCCCTTATCAACATTATAAAAAGATTTTATCTACACACTCACTCTGATTTCAGAAAGAACTAGGATCACCATGAAGTCATGATTTTCATTAGCTGTGAGGAAAGAAACTGAAAAAACCCTGTTGGTAAGGTGTGATTCTTTGTACCAATTTAATTAATCAGAGGCAAACTCATCTTACCTCATTTTTAGTCACTTGCACTGCTAAGGAGCCAGTTTAAGCTACTGTACACCAAGCGAAAGTCCACTTAGAAGTTTGCCGTAGACTAACAGCACTTTTCAAAGCATTTTAATTGAAGCAAAAGCAGCTTCACGATATAAAGAGAATCTCAGCAGCAGATTCCTATCAGTATAGATTATTAGGAGGAATCAGAATGGCCAAGAGCTGGTACTTTGGGAAGGTAACTGTCCTCTCTGCAGAATCCCCTTGCTGAGCCAACAGACTAGATTTTTCATTTTTACTGCTTTCACCTATGTCCCTTACCAATCTACAGTCAACAGTAATTTCATCCACAAATTCTGCTCAATCAAAGTCTGCAAAATTAATGAAAGTCACACCACATGAGTAAATCTTTCTCTCCATCTCTTAATTCCTCTCTCCTATGTGGATCTTCTGAAAGGTCCTGCAAAACATGCTGAGGGAGTGGCTGGGGTGGGGGGCAACAGAGGGCTGGAGAGGATAAATTTAATAAAAACCTTAGTACCACTGTGCAAATCTTATTCTGGTAGCTGCTTGTCTGCTATGGGCTGGATTCTGCTGTCAGCCCTGTTCAGGGCAGAAACTCTGTGGAAAGCTTTCTTCAAGCCAGTGCCTGATTCAGAATTAGCATCTTCCTCACCAGATTTTTCACTCTTCTCCTGTGCCTTTCTGTGTTCCCCAAATAGTAGGACATGTGATCCATTTATACCACAATGTTTTGTCCTTCTAAAACTGTGTGTGTTAACCAGTGTTGCACACTTGTTTCTAAGGGCACCAGCAACAGCTGTGGGACCATGCAATTCGGGCTGCACATACATATAGAGCACATAGGGCAGCTTTATTGCACCCGTTCTGGTACAGACTGCTTGTATAAGCTGTAAATGTCCAAGGCCAGAGGGATGGGAACTGCAACTGGGTCTAACACCATCAGCCTGCTTCTGTGCAGTAATCTGAAGCCTACAGGTGAGGACTTGCTAATATAGACTGATGATTATTAGCACAAGAAGTAATTCCAAAGGTTTTGAGAGGCATTCCCTTGCAAAAGTTTCCTTTTTGTGCAATCACAAGTTAGTCAATATATTTTTCCAGCAAGCTTCATAGGAGGAATGGTTTGGCACTGACCAAAAAGAAGCAGGATCACCTCATCTTGTTCATGCACTGGTTTTAGCAGACTGCAAGGCTGCAGTCCCCTAGAAACTCTGGTGTGCTAATTGCAGTTCTTTCGAGCCTGCACACACACTTTATTATTGTAGAGCTCTAACCCACCTGGCTGTCACCTCCTCTGAGCCCGCAGTGCTGAGCAGATCACTCACCTGCCATTCTTGGTCACGATCATCTCATTAGTGACTTCCCTGAATCTCTGCCAGAGCGTCGCATCCTCCAAGACAACCTGGAGCTGTTTCTCCGTGGGGTCGCCTTTGTCTCTCCCAGCCCGGAGTTCACTCTCCACGACGCTGAGGAGCCTGGAGACCGTGCAGTCGCTGGGCTTTTTGCAGCCCAGGTCTGCCATGACGGCTTTACTGCCAGAAACTTCAGGTGGCTGCTGAAAAGACAAAAATAAGAATCTGTATGAAAAAAGAAGTCAGTTCATTGGGCACCGTCTGACAAACGTGCTCGCCTCACTCTTTTGCCACTGCCTAGCTCTTTTCCCTGGAAGTCCCAATGGGCAGTGACACCAGTGTGTGGAGGTTTACGCACACCCTCCACACAAAAAGAGGACTATCTCCTAATTACCTGTTAGACAGTCAGGTGGGTGGCTGGCTGATGACTCAATTGGCTGCCTTGAAAGAAGAGTCCTTCATCCAAATTAGCATGCTTTTATCTTTTTTCAACCTGAAGTGGGTCTAATTGTTCTGCTTGAGAACCAGGTTTCCATTAATGAAAATTGTTTCATTTCCAGACTGAAACAATGCATGGAAATTGCATTCACACTGGTGCGGACTCTAACTGAAGGAGCTGGGAAGAGTCAAGATAGTCACACAGAGAAGGTTGTCTTAAAATATTTTCACCAAGAATGTTGCATAAATGCATTAACCTCATTCCTCTACATTCCTAAATCAAATATAATATTGAACCTTTCTGCACTGAGATTTCAGTGCACAAGAAGAGGCAGCATCCCTACACTCTATTGTTGATGGATATTGTGTCCATCCCTTGGTCCCACTGTCATTCACAAAATCCCTGCTGCACCTTACAGGTGTCTGAAAGCCCCTCTGGCTGCCTTTCCAGGGACAGACCACGCACTTCTGGGGCTGGAATGAGCTTAACTGCCTGAGGCCTGGCCCTGCTTACTAACTCAAGGTCCATCTCAAGCAAAAGCTCCCTCAGCATCCCTCCCACCTCATGCTGAGACCTTCTCTGACAAGCCTGATCCAGCAACACATGCCGTCCACAAAAAAGCAACCATTTTACTGAGGACTCCAACAATTTCAGCATTCAGCCAAGGAGACGAGAGATGTGGGTTCAGTACCCTGCTGGAGGGTTAAGTGGAAGCCCCACAAATAGCAGTGACCTGTAAACACTGGGCTTTGATATATAACAAATGTTAGAGTACCTAACTTCCCCTGATACATTTATCTTTGATAATGTCTTTAAAATTTCTGGTCTGTTGGACATGACATAGTCAGGGACTTGATTATGAAAACGAAGTCCTAGAGGTCATTTTAAAAGAAATTTCTGTCTGCTTATTGAGAACTTTGCATTCTTTCAATTCAATAGTCCCTATTGAATTTCTGTGCTTCTGTCTCTTTTAGAAAGACAAAATTACTTGGTGAATCACTGTTGGGATTTTCACAGACAAGAAAGAGTATTGCAGACTTTATAAAATAGAATTTAAGTTAAATCCATCTTTTGACAAGGCTCAACAGATCTTGCTTTAAAAAATCTGAGAGGTACCATCCACCTAAACAGCAATGGCCAGAGCTTGATGGCACCTTATTTGGCACCCTTCCAACCCAAATCATTCTATGATTCTATGCTGCTTTCAAACTTCACACTCTGACACCCTTTGCTCTCTTCTTTTTTAAATTGTCAACTCATAACAAAAATACCTGGATTATTTTATAAGTAAACTCAGGTGAGTTACATTAGCAGGTGTCAGATAGCAACTCTAGTTGATAAACAGCCCACTTTCACTGCTGAATGACTAAAGAATGTACTTCAAAATCCATAGGATATTTAGGTACCTGGAGGGGTACCACTTTGCATTTGGAAAAATAATTGCATCTCAGGTATGCTTGTGTAAATGGAATATGTTTGTGTTTGGGTTCCCCTTTCCGAATACTCGAAGAGGAGAGAGAAGCTACTACTGTAATGTTTCCCTGCATGTGATCAAATGGCATAGGAAATGCATAGTAGACTATATGAGATAGTTTTAAAATTTATTATACTACAGATGCAAATAGACAGAGAAATTGGAGCTGGTGGAAGTGCTGTGAATTTCAATTCAATATCTTCAGGTTTTCAGTAAGTTCTAAAACAGGTACAGGTTACTTTGGGATTTTTGTTTTCTTAGCTGAATCCCTATTTCCATACAGCCTTTTTAGGTATAGTTGCTCAGAAATCAGGAGATTCAAAGTTAAGACAGGTAAAGAGACAACTCACAAAAGTAATAATATTCTAGTAGTTACATACAGTTCTTTCTGCAGGCAAATAAAAAGAGAAGCAGCCTGTCTTTCAGAAGTACTCATTGCCCATCTCTCCTGCAGGGTTTCAAGAGAAGTGATATTGGATTAGAGCCTCTAAAAATCAGATCCTATCTACCTTCCTCAAGATGCTTAGAACTTAAAGGAAATCAAAATCATGCAAAAAAGCAAAAACAGTTCACATTGGTGGAAGGGTTTCCTAACGAGGAAGAGAAACTCTCACCAGCAGACACTGATGCATTACTAGAGGTAAAGAATATGCTCAGCAAAGATGGATTGGAAATGGAGGTTGCCACAAAGCACAAGAAAGGAGGTCCTGCTTGGAGTGAACTACTTGCCCAAAGCACTCCTGGGACTGAGCTGTAGAGAAAGAGGAATATATGGAAGGAATGGATAATGGACCTGTTCCAGTAATGGGCTGGGCTAGAGGTTTTCATCAATAAGACTGGATTTTTTTTTACAGCTAGCATCCCTAAGGGAGAAGCATGAATGTTTTTACTTTGGAGTGCACATACTACTGTGTATCCTGCACAGTAATAAAATCCACTTTCAGATCCCAGAAGTAACACTTGTGTGCTTATGGTTATCACTCGTACAAGGTGTCTGATTCTTCCAAGTATTGTGTCCAGATGAAAGAATAAACCACAAACCTAACAATTTAAAATACCTGACTTTCACACAGTTTGAATTTTAGTAACTATGTTACCATAGCTCAGGACACCTGAAACCACATTTTCCAAAATGAATGTAGTTACCTGTGTCTGGCTAGTGGGAATGGCCCAATTACTATTTTTAGCGTTGGGAAGGTTGTTTCAGCTCTAAGAGTTCAGTCTAAGAGCAATTCATGTTGCATCTAGCAGAAGGCACAGTTCACCACTGACTTATCTTTCCAACCTAAAATAATTAGCCAAGGAAATAATAAGTTTATATTCATGTAAGCACATGATCAGCTGAATGTACTTGGGCCTGAGATTTTACTTTAAAACACACACTTCCAGATTCCATGAATGAGACTTCTTTGCACTGTGCACTGTCTCTGTGTCACACAGCTGCCATGGGAGAAGGCTGCAAAATAGAAACCAGATAGATTCAGAGTCACAGTTATTTGTTTATTGTTGGCTTTTCATTTAACAAAAATATTACGTGTGGAAATTTACTTTGAATATTTAGCCTGCTTTAGGTGAAGTGAGAGACACCCTCTAATCTTTTGACCCTCCATTCACCTAAATAACAACTTGGAATATTTTCCAAACAACCTTTCTTTCTCCTACTTTCTTGTAAGATTAATTTTTCCAAGTCTACAGGTGCTGAAACAGGGGCCCCAGCACATTAATGTCACTGGCTGTAGGTGTTGCCAGGGCACGGAGAACAATCCATTCTCAGATGTGGGTTAGTTCTTGGGCTGGAAGTTAAATTTCTCTGAATCTGACATTTGAAGAAAAGGTAGCTGGACTTAGAGAGGAGCAGAGTAGATGCTCCTGTGACTGACAGCCACTGCCACTGCAAGTGGGACACAGCAGGAACAATGGACAGAAGGCTGTTTATTGCCCCTCTTGCACTTGTCACACATTTCACTAGACAAGCAAATCAGTAGGGGCAGCAAAAGGAGCAGAAAATGCCCCTACAAAACCTGCAAATTTGTATGTTTTCCCTGAAACTCACCTGGGAGAGCTGGGAATTTCCAAGCAGGGATCATACTCCTTATGGGTCATGGACAGGCAGAACTAGCTCAAAATGCAAGCACTGCACTCACAATCATCTCCAATTTACTAATAAGAATTTAGTAACTCATATTTTAAATGAAGCAATGAGGACTGGAGAGAGCGGTGAAAGAACAATCAGAACAATCCTGCAACACTTAGCGGACTTCACTCACCAAGTTACAGCAGGAAAAAGCAAGGGGTTATTTTTGACTTTCTAATTAAGCTTGTTCTTAAATGCCCCCGGCCACCAGCTGGTGAGGTACACAGAAAGAAGAGGGAAAAAAAGCAAACAAGAAAAAGGTAATTAAAGAGGCCCTTCTTGCCTTGACATTGGATAGCTGTTTTTTGGCCTTTAGCTGCATGTTTCTGAAGAAAAGGCAGCCCTTCATCATCAGATGAAATTGCAGAAAATAAGACTCACTCTTTCCATCTCCAAAGCTCCCACTGCAGCATTCAACTAAACCCCCTCTGAACACTGAGTCCCAACAACACAGGGAAATGTAACCTTCATCACCATGACACTCCTAGGAAATCAACACCTATCAACTACCACGGAATAATTAAGAATGGATAAAAAGACAGCTGCTATCCTTCTGGTTTATAATCATATATCCAGCCCCTTAAGAGACTGCTAGGCTAGAAGAGACTTAAAGAAGATTAGCCTTTTCATTAATGTCAGGGTGAGGGGACAGTTTCAATAACTTCCCCCAGTTATGTTTTTAGCAGAAAGGCAGGCAGCTTGTTTGAGTGGAACGTGCCTGTCTGGTGATATAACCGAGATTATACTGAGATTAATTCCGAGCCCAGAGATCAGGGAAGGCTTTCCACAGCAAATCTTTCTGCTTTTTAAAAAGAGAAGGAAGAAAAAAAAAAACCAACAAAAACAAACCCAAAGTAAAAAAACTAATGTAGTGTGATGGGTTGATCCTGGATGGGTGCCAAGTACCCACCAAAGGGTGGGTACTGCTCTGTCTCTCCCATCCTCTGCCCTCCTCAGCAGGGACAGAGAAAATATTACAAAAGGATCATGGGTTGAAATAAGGACAGGGAGAGATCACTCACCAGTTACCATAATGGGCAAAACAGGCTTGACTTGGGGGAATTAGTCCAATTTATTATCAATCAAAACTGAGTAAGCTAATAAGAAATAAAACCAAATGTTAAAACACCTTCCCTCCACCCTTCATTTCTTCCCAGGCTTAACTTTGCTCCTGATTTTCTCTTTCTCCTCCATCCCAGTGACCTTCTCAGGGGAAGAACTTTTCACACTCTTCCGCTGCTCCAGCATAGGATTCCTCCTATGGAAAACAGTCCTCCATGAACTTCTCCACCAGTCCTTCCCACAGCCTTCAGTTTTTCACATAGTGCTCTAGTATGGGTCACTTCCATGGGGTATAATCCTTCAGGAACAGGCTGCTGCAGTGTGGGTGCTCTGCAGGGTCACAAGTCCTGCCAGAAAACCTGCTCTGGTGTGGGCTTCTCTGTCCAGGAGTCTGCTCCACCCTGGGCTTCCCACAAATCACAGCCTCCTATGGGCATTCATCTCTCTGGCAGATGGATCTCTGCATCCCTATGGACCTCCACGAGCTGCAGGGGCACAGCTGCCTCACCATGGTCAGCAACAAAGGCTGCAGGGGAATCTCTGCTCTGGCACCTGAAGTACCTCCTGCCCCTCCTTCCCCACTGACCTCGGTGTCTGCAGAGCTGTTCTTCTCACACGCTCTCTCTCCTAGTTTCTTTGGCTGCATTAGTGCAAGAGGTTTTTTCTCCTCAAATATAACCCCAGAGGCACTAACACTGTTGCTGGTGGGCTCAGCCTTGGCCAGCAGTGGGTTCATCTTGGAACTAGCTGGTCTTGGGGCTATCAACATATGGGAAGCTTCTGGCACCTTCTCAGGGAAGCCACCTCTGTAGCCTCCTCACCAAAACGTTGACAGCAAACCAAATAGGTGTATGCCAGTGGTATCATCAGGCTGATAATCATCAGATGACAAATGTAACTTAGTTTGTTTCAAACAATAATTATACTTTTCCCTAATTTGTTTTTTTCTACTTAAAGATCTACAATGATATCTTCAGACATGAATTATCACCTAGAGTAAGAAACTGTTACTGTTCCCATCTTTAATATCAGAAAATAATTTAAAAAGTAAGAGATTCTAAGCAAAGCTTTTAGTTCCATTTACAACATCTCAGATTGAAAGTAATACACTCAGTGTTTATTGGGCACCACCAAACATGCACTTCTGACGTGGATGTGTAGTTTAAAGCTTTCTGCTAATGATGATGGTTAACAAGTTGCAAATATAACTCCGTTGAAGCAGTTGATTCTCTCAAAAGTGATGAGCATAATACATCCTGTTATACACAACCAGAAACCACAGGAGCACATGCCCATGCGAAAATATTTTCTTTTCACGCCACATATGGCATCATAGAATGGTTTGGGTTGGAAGGGACCTTCAAGATCTTCTTGTTGCAGCTCCCCTGCCATGGGCAGGGACATCTTCTGCTAGACTAGGTTGTTCAAAGCCCCATCCAACCTGGCCTAGAACACTTCCAGGGGACGGGGCATCAAGTGCATCTCTGGGCAGTCTGTTCCTGGGCCTCACTACTCTCACAGTAAAGGATTTCTTCCTAATCCTTAATATAAACCTTCCCTCTTCCAGTATGAAGCCGTTCACCCTTGTCCTGTCACTATGTGCCCTTGCACAAAGACCCTCTCCAGCTTTCAGTGCTTCCCCAGCTTTTAGGGCATGACAGCCCCTCAGAGCTGCAATGAAATCACACTGACCAGGTGACACTTTCATTGTTCCATTTTTACACTACACTCATGTTACTCCACACTTATTCCCACAGAGGTTTTGAAGCACGAATTCTCGGGTATAACTTCTCTTAGAGATGCCACAAGGGAACGCAAGAGAAACTTAAAAGGGTTTCAACCAGGCTAACTTAAAATAGCAATCCCAAAGATTGGCAGCTTAGATAGACAAATCCATCTCTAATTCACCAGCAGCTTTCTGAAAAGTGAGAAAAACAGAATTTTTCTCCCTTTGGGAATCTCCAGCACTTCATGGCTGGGCAGTTACAAGCCTGTACCCCCACACATATTGCAGCCAAGGCTGAGCTCAACAGGAAAGGTACAAGCAAGCGATGGAAATAACCATCAACCTCCACCTTTGAATGGCTCACATCCATGAAATATCTTCTCTTGTAAAATCAGACCTTGGGGAAGGAGAAGGGGAAGGGGCAGACATTACAGCAGCTTTCCAAGAGCCTTGTCACTGAATTTGAATGCTGGTGACTTTGCAAGGTAATGGGATTCAGGGACTAGATTCTGTAGCACAACTGACAAAACTTTTCAGAGCATTTCTAAGGAGCCAATTCATTAATCAACAGAATGTGCTTTAGGGCAGCTGATCACTGTTTCGAGATTTCAAATGAAGATTTCACTTTTTTTTTTCTTTTTATTATTCAAGTATTAAGACCTCAGCATGAGAATGAAGTGAAAGTTCAACAGGTTTGTTGTTATGCAGGTGAGTTAGGCAAGCAATATACCTCTAAACTATTAGACATGGAAAGGATTTATTGCCCTTTGAGGAATCACAGTTCTCTTGATATGACACAGATGTATCCAGCTTTCCTGACATTCCTGGGACAATCTAACCTTTGCAAAAAAATAAAATGCAAACCCCTAGGTTTCTATGCTTTCTATACAGAAGACAAGCTGCTGCTTGCTTGTATTCTAAACACAACTTTGGAGTTTCCTGTAGGACAGAAAATTCAGTCAGCTGTGAGACAGAGCTTGCTTAGAACAATAAAAAAAAACAAGAAAAAAAGATAATTGAAAACTTAACATAGTCTCCCACAGCACACTAGTCTCACCACCACCCTTGCAGAGAGGGGAAAAAACCCAGCTGCCTGTCAGGAGAAAGTCTAAGATACCCTGAACAGCCTGATGCACACACAGCCTTGATACACTGCCAAAGAAATTAAACCACAGAAGGTCTTTGGATGCATGGTAGGCACAGACTTAAACAGACCAGCTTTTTGAAAGTTAAAAAAATAAAATAATTGCCTCTAATTATTTTTCACACACTTTCATAAATTATTAATATTTTACTTCATTTACATTTTAGTGAGTGTACATCAGCCCCCAGAGCATATTTATTTCAGAGGCATGTTGCTTCCTGTTGTTTTTGCTGACAGAATAGCACCAGGCATTATTTTGTCTGTAGCATGGATTAAGGACAGCTTGTTAGCGTACCTAGGTTGACTCTTGAGGTAAATAAATAAGAAGAAATAAAAATAAAAATATCATCCTCACCTTGACAACTCCACTTGTGCCAACCCGTTGTCTAGGTGCCTGCAACTGCTGGGTGAAGCTGCTGCAAAACACTGGTGACACAAAAACTGCCCCCAGCAGTAGATGCAGTGTGCACAGCAAAGGAAGTGAGGTCAGGACAGTCGTTTTTTAAAAACCAAACACACAAACAAAAGGAAACAAATTACCCACAGCAATTTCAGCATCATCTGGAGAATTAGCATCATTTTAAAAGCCATAAGAGCATTAACCATTAGACCAAGTAATTTAATGCAGTGATAACTTTATTGAAGGAAATAAACAGCACTTGTAAGGGTTTCACTTCATTACAGAGAAAGTTGTAAGTCACAAAAAGATGTTTATCAAAGTAGAAATCAAACAGTGTAAACAGAAAAAGCACATCAGCAAATAGAATCAGTAACAGTATAAAACATTGCAAAGAATTTCTGAGTTTGGTTTTTATTTTACAAAACAATTCCACAGCTGGTAAAAAATTTAGTGGTCACATTACAGTGAGGCACGTGGTTTTAAGACAATAAAACATTTGTGTGCTTTCCCTCCAAAATGGTCAGTATTTGCTATGGTTGTAAACATCAGTATTTAAGACAAATGTGTTTAAACATCCTCCTCAGCTTACAACAGAACAGTGATCTCACTCTCATTAACACGATTTAAGTACCAAAATGAATCAAGAGCTGCTCTCAGGAAGTCAGAGGCACACATAAGAGCCCAACACACTTTCCTTTTAAAACCATGGTTTCTGAAAAGAATTTAAACTTGTGGCAGAAAATTCTTCCTTGGTTTTTGTAACAGTTCATGAAGAGTCTTATTACTGAAAATACTAAATGAGATTAAATTGTTCACGTCATCAGTGTAGAACCATTTCAGATAGTACCAGTGTTCATAATGGACTTCATCACACAAAATAGAGCAAAACCGTGAAGCAGTGAAAAAAAACCCCATATTTCAATGTATAGAGTCTCAGTACTTTGGGAACAAATGACTACCACCCTCCCCATTTCCCTTTCTAATATAGCTGGAAAGTCAGCTGATCCAGGATATACAAATTTCCTGTTAGAACTGTACGCTAAGGCTGCTTGGTTGAGGTTATGTTATCTGTACAGCAAAAAGTGAAAAAAAGTGGACAAATTGGTCAACAGGCTGAGCAAAAAAAGCACTTTCTGCTAGAACACCAAATCCTACTGAGATGGGCACCCAACATCAAAGAAGTTTCCTTAGGGAAGTCAGCCTTGAGTTAAGTGCTGTAGGCAACTGAGCAGGGACTTTGGGAAGGAAGGAGCTTTGTGATTCAAACCACAGATTCTCTATTTGCAGCAGAGTGCACACAACAAATATTCCTGCCCTCAAGGACAGTAAGATGGAAAGCTTCAGAAATACACACCATGCTTCCTGCCAAGCAGATACCCAAGATGTTGATATCAAAATATAACACAAAGTAGGTTTAATGACCAAAAAAAAAAGGTATAATGGTATAATCTAATTCAAATTGAAAACTACTCAAGAGGAAATATTCATGTAGTTTATTCCCCAGTTATGTAAAAATCATATAAAATAAAGAACAACAGTAAAGTGGAAATTTCTTTTGCTGTTAAGCTTGTCAACAGCCTCACTACAACTACTTAAAAGTGAGTAAGAATCCAAGAGCTTTGTTCTGGGAGAGCTATTTTAAATCAAAGCTGCTTGTAGATAAAGCGACAAACCCTGAGTATGTTTCACATATTGGCAAGAATATGGCAAGTCTCTCCTACTGTCTGGTGTCCCCAGGAACAGAATACAACACCAAAGGGCAACATAAACCCCAGTGGCACTCTTGTGATCCTTGTGTCCTTGCCATCTCCCCTTGGGTTCCCTTCCTGTAAGGGCACAATTGCTTAGCCTGGTGTGCTGTGCAGTCAAATGAAGATTTGTTCTTCTCTCTTCCTGAATAAAAGGCCATGAAGCTGGAATTCCAGTTTTAAACTGGGAGGAGAGCAGGAAAGGACAAAAATCCATATATGTGCTATCTATTGGTATTTTCACAAATTTCCTACTTCTAATTGGCTGTGTTCACAAGAGTCTTAGTTAGCTACTCTGCATGTTGAAAAACTAACATTCACCATACCCAATTGTACTGTTCTTCCAGAAGAACTGACAGAGAGTCAGGCTACCAGAACCCTGCCCAAGCTAGCCAAGGAATAAGCAAAAGGCTTTTACTCCTCCTAATCTGAAGTAATAAAAAAAAAAATTCCCAAAAGTCAAATTCCATTATCGCGACTGCTCAACCTGGAATGATGACTGGAGTTAACATAACTTAGCTGGAGAGGGGAAGGAGAAACAATGGTTACTGTGCTTGTAGCTTTTCCCAGGGACATTCAGAGATGCTAAAATTAAAGGAATATTATAATGTAAATAAAAGGCATTAGGGTTGCATTTCTATTTCCCTTATACAAAGGAATTCTGTAAACATTATCAAAGTCCCTAGAAAAGACTGGCATAGGTCCTTTGACAGATGTAAATTCGGTTTTAAACTTACTCCCTGAAAAAAAGACACACGTCCCTTTAGTCACTTGTCTTAGATCAGCCAGTGGAAAAAAAGATCAGTTTTCTTTAATTCCCAGTCTCTCTTGGGCATTTAACCAATTCTTCCTTTCAAGAAGAATAATGGTGAACATATTTATTTCAACACTAAGTTCTAAATCCTGAGAGACAAAAAAAGCGCCAGGACCTAGCACCTGAATCTGCATAATTGATTCATTCCAACATTAGTGCCATCTTTCCAAGGTGACATTTTCCATTCAAATGCCTTTGCAACAGTAATTCTGGCCACCTGGAATCCACAGAAAGCTTGTCAAAATCTCTCTTTCATACCATCTGCAAAACGCAATCTTTAATTCTTTTTTCCTTAGAGGATCCTTACAGGTGGGTGGTACTGAAGCTTTATAAATTATCAGAAGGACACTTAAATTTAAGATTTTGGATTAATTAATTTTATGTAACTTTCTGGAAGCCATAGAACTATTTACCTTCACTGTGAGTTTATACTTTATAGCCAAGTAGATCAAGGTTTTTCCTGCATTAAAATCTTTGTGGTACAAGTCAGGGATACACTTGCCATGTGAACACAATGCTCTTAAACAACTAAACTCTTGGTAGATTAAGGAAGAGATGCTTCAGTTCCCACTAGAGTGCACTGGAAAACCATCATCTTAAACACTGGCTCCAGCAAGACAATTTGGTAAAAGGAAAGGGGAAAGCAGTTAAACACTATCTCACACAGCAGAAGCAGGAATCTGTGCTGAGTTATTAAACTGACCAATGTAATGCTGGAGTAAATGATTATATGTAGTTCAGAATATAAAGAGAACACAGACTGGCCTTGGAATTTGGATACAGACTGTTCAGCACTTGTTTGGAGCTGGCAGTGGCATTGTTTCATGCTTTGCTACCACAGGCAAGAGAATGTTGTGCTTTCTCCTCCATGCAGAGAAGTTCACCGGTGTGTCCAAGAGTTTTAGCAGAAACAAAACTGATTCCACGTACAAAGAAACAAAGAGAAATGTTGGAGTTTTAACTTATTTGCAAGTTCAGAACAAAATGTCTTCTCCCTGACCCAGGCTGCTTAAAAACAACAGCCCACTTTCAACTTATGACAGTTTGCCCTTTGAGAAAGAAAATACATAAATTCCTTTATTGCTTGCCTACCATGCCCTTTGCATTGCTCTTATGCTACAGCTGGAGGAGAAGAGAAGCACCTCACTTCATATGAAAAATGTCAGCTTCCTGCCTTGCAACCATGAGCAAGGAAAAGAACTCAGGTTCCTGGTAGCTGAAAACATCAATGGACCTTATTTTACAACTGCTTTTCCAACAGGAGCAAGTTTTTTCTTATGAAAATGTCCCTTTCATGTATTTTAAGGACAGAACTATCAGTATATACTGAGAATTAAGTACTTCATTAAAGATGAAAACATTTCATGGTTAATCCGTGTTTGCCTTTAGAACTACATCTTTTAGAAGTCTCATAAACCTAAAATTTTGCAAGAGAGATAGGAAAAGAAAGAGTACCAATATTCCATTATCCAAGGCAAACAGTGCAAAGGTTAAGTGACACAAGGCTATTTTAAAAAATCCCAAGTTGTTGGTAAGAAATCAGTTTTCAACTTTACAACAGGCACAGTCCCATCAGAGCCAAGGTCTTCACTTTACAGACTTTACACATTACTTTGAAACTTTTGCAAAACCAAATGCATGAATTTATGCAAGAATCACCATAACAAATAGTAGACCTCTGCCCAGTTCTTCTGCCAGACTGAATTTCATTTGAGCACAAGCCCTCTGTCCCACCGACACCATTGCTTACAAACCCAAGCAACTGCATACGCTGGGTGTAACACAAGGCGCTTCTAACAAGCACTTAAAGGCACATGTTCAAGACTGAAGTAGGAAACTACATAACACAGTGATCTCAACACAGTTCTATCTAGAACTTCCTAGAACTTTGTGAGGCATCCAATATTCCTGTTAAGACAGACAGACAGAAACACATTTCTTCACAGCATCCCTACAGACAGGAGAAAGAAAAAAACACAAGAGAGTCAGAATCACCTCAGTTACATTATTTGATAAGAGTCATTCCATGCTGCTATCCCACTGACACTGGGGACTGTTGAGATCAGCTGACCATGTATTAATTGCATCAATATGATTTGCATGACTACACAAATGCCTTAGAGACAAGTAGGTCTGCTCAGTGCCCACCTTGCTGCAGAAGGGGGAGCTGCAAGGCAGCACTGAGGCAGTGCATTGCAGAAGGGTGCGGCAGGAGACAGAATTGTGCTCATGGGGACAACAGGACAAAAGGGACACAGAAGAATACACTTGTCTAGTAGCAGTTTGGACCAGCATTTGGGTATTCCAAAGGAAAGTCTTATGCTCAACATTTGGTCAGCAGGCTTACATATTTCAATGGGAGGCCCTCTGATTTTCTCCATTTGTGTTCTCCCACTAGAGAAGATGCTTACTTTCATTTTCAGATGTAACCAGTTGTATTTCCTGCACCATGGAAAACCTTCTAAATCCACCCATGACAATGCTTCTCTAAACTAATCTTCTGTACGATTAAACCTCAAAATGACAAAGAGTAAGAGAGTGGGGAAGCTTACCTTGCATATGGTATGAAGGAAATGCTGTACCTAAGAAGAAAGATTTTGAAAGTTACTTTTCATGTCAGATTTTATTAGCATCACAAACGAGAACAACCCCTCTGACATTCTAAACTACGAGTTACATAACCAAAATGAAGCTTTGAATTTGTGAGTAACAGGAAGGAGTATCCTTGGAAGCCTTCTTAGCCCAGCCAGGGTATGAAACACTATGGCAAAATAGAGGGAGATGTTGTGAAAGCATTTTAAACACAGCTCTCCTGAATCCAGTATTCTTCATGTTCCAGCACCTACAAATGTACAGGATTAGTGTTGAGGGGCTGGCTAGGTGTCCCTATCAGTTTGTGCACTCCTTGGTGACCTTGCACAGACCATATGTTAACATGAGAACACTAATAATTTGATTGGCATAACTTGGTCTCTGAACAAGATAAATTCAGAAGAGTGTAAAAGAGGAATACCCGATGGGAGGCAGCAAATTGATTTAAAAGGGGAAAAAAAACCCAAGCTCAGTTCAAGGTCAGAGAAATCAAAGGAACTTCCTGTAGAAATGGAGCCCTGAGCTCTGTCTCCAAAGCCTCTGTAGTGGTGTGAGAGACCAAGAAGTGGGAACAGGTCAGCTCCTCACTGACGCATTGTCTTGAATCTAAGGGATTGACAAGGTAAACATTTTCCTTCCACCTAACTCAACGTCAAAATCCACTCACAGTTCAGCTACTGATGTCAGGTGCAACAGAAAGTGGAGTGTGTAAGGAGGAAATCACTTACCATGCCATGGCAAAAAACTGTAAGATGCAGAAAAGCAGCGCGAGTCCTGCCTTATGCCACTGGAGGGGACGGGGGAAGAAACACAGCAGAGACAGCATTGTAAGAACCTTTCTTTTAAAATATTCTCCAGCTATATAAACTCCAGTTACATATACATACAGGACTCCAGTACTCACCCAGAAAGCAGAACACAGTGTTAGTATGAGGCACAACTAGAAGAAAACAAATTATTTTAATTAAAACCAGAAATAACTCATTTCTATAAATATTGCAACACTGTAACAGGGTCCTTCACAGAGACAAATTAATTACATCATTTCACAGTTTCATTCAATCCTACATCATAAGAGTTCCTCATATTTATATTTAAAATGCTCTTGCTATTACATTTCTGAAGTGAATTAAAACCATCAGGACATAGTAGCCTGGTATCTCCAACAAATGATTTTATGGCTGCAAAGGAGCAGGAGGAAGAGGTTCCTGCAGGTCTTTTGCAGGTCCCTGCTCCATCTCATGCACTTCTTGGTGTCACAGGCACACACCACATTTCATTGCTCTGCATAAGTAAGACTTTTCAAATACTATTCAGTAACCACTCCTAGTCTTTCTGCTTCTGCACAGTTCCGGATGATTATATGGTACCACGGTTATTACTTAAAAGCTCACCAATTAAAACTATGCTACACTTTCAAGAACTTTGGGCTATTGTTTAGTAGCTCTCCTGTGTATATATTTAAGTATGGCACAGTCATTCAAACCAGCACTTTTTCTGTTTTCAGTGTGTGCACTGTGTCTCTCTTCTTTACTGCAGGTAAAATCTTGGGGGGTAGTAGGATTATTTTCTACTTTAACTCTCAGTTTTAATAGAAGCCTCCTATTAGTTTTCGTTTTGAATTTAAGATATGACAGCTCATTTATCTATGATACAAACTGATAATTCATCTTCCTTCATCAGCATCTAACAGCCTTTAGATACACACCGTGCTACTAGAATGGAAAAAACCCCCCCATGTAGTACTGCATACTCAGACACTAAGACACGCATTGCCAAAGAAATCATACACTTGAACTCAACCAGTACTGACAATAAATGCAGTTCCTCCATTAGTTTTAAGGTGGTGATTAGTATATTGGTCTAAATACTGCATCATACATCTAATGACTGGCTTTATCCCACTAAACAGCATTCCAGGAATTCTCCTGACTCCAGGCATCCTGAATGCATACAAAACACATACACACCATACAGTAGCTTCTTGATTGGATCTGCAAGCATACACAATTTCTCAAGCTTTGCAGCATCTCTGGATGTGTAATGAGAAACTGGGAAGTGCTGATGCCAAGCAAACACTCTGAAGCCATTCAGACTTGAAAATGGGAGTTTCATGCAAGTTAAACCACCTTGAAACTTTTTGACAGAAAACAGGAAAGTTGCAGAGGCAAAAAACCATATACTTTAAAGAAGAGTCAGTCTGAAATTTAGCAGTAATTTTCAGACACAGAAACACACATAACACAAGGTTTGCTGTAACTTCCATCTTCTGAAAATAAAATCATTCAAAGGGTGACTCCATTGAATGTTGAATTTGCAATTTCGTTGTCATACAAGTTTCAAAACCTGAAGTTATCAGCCAGCTGGAACGATCCCTAATGCAAGGTAACCAAGGCACAGTTTCCCCAAGTGCTTTGTTACAAAGAGATGATTTTATCGAGGTAGAAATACCTACACAGCTCTTTCAAGGCAATCAGACAAAATATAAAAAGACAAAATTATGCAAAATAAAATATCTAGCAACATCCGTAGGACAACTTTAAAAAATGAGTTTCCCATCATTCACTTCTTAGGCAACATGTAAATATGATGTTGTGACCTCAAGCACCCTAAAAAAGCACAGGCATGGTTCACACACACCAGCCACAGACCCTTAATGCTCATTTAGCAAAACAAGTTGGCTTCAGCTCAGTCTTCACTAACAGAGAGGTGCTTTTCTGGTGCTGCACTTACCTTTCCACTACAGCAGATATGCAGTGTTTGATATCTTCAGAAAAGACAAAAAACCACCCCCACACACATCCTGAGCCATAGCTGGATCAATGGATATGAAAGGACTTCACAAAGAAAATAGCTGCCAGGTTTGTATGAGTTAAAAGCGCCTCCTTGGATACTTACTAGCATAACAATAGTAGCAATCAAACGTGTAGGCTCAAACATCCGCTTCAGTTGTTTCATTGGTCCCATAAGAAACATAGTGCTGTGAAAAACAAGATGAACACGGAAATGAGCAAGGCAAAAGTGAAACTCGGTACGATTAAACTGTCTGCTGCCATAGGGGCATCAGTACACTGTGTTGTTATTGCAATCAGTGCAGCATAACAAAACAAATGGGATTATACAATGAGACAAAATCCATTTCCCCTTTCCTTTGTGCAAGGCATTTACAATTTTATTCACACTTGTTCTGTTAAAATTAACAGAAGCATCTGTCAAAATCAAGTCAGAAGCATAGGCCAAGGTCAGCTCCAATCAGACCACCCTTGACAGATACTTTTCTAGCCTGCTTTTCAAAAATGCTTTTTAAGTCTGTTTTTCAAGAACACCATCCACAGAAGCTCTTCATGGACTGCCAGGTAATCCAGCTCAATTCCTCTAGATAAAAGGCTATTTTCAGGCCTGGATCCATTCTCTGATGCCTTCTCAGATCTGCAGCCTCATTTAGAGCCCTGGTGATGAATACTGCATGAATTATACAAGGTGAAAGTTTTATCTAAAGTGATATTTCTGCCTCATATACTAATTATTCTGCCTCATTAGCATATTACTTCCAGTTCAATTATTTATGCTTTCTTGCATCATGCTAAGCTTCCACAATCACAGAAAGCTGGGCTTGTCACAGAGGATGTATGGCTTTGCTTCAGGAACCTTGATGGCCATGAAGTCTTACTACATATGCTTGCTCTGACAGACAGACTGCTCCAAACATATTCACCAAAACACACAGAACACTTCCAAATGAAAAATGGCAAAGAATTATTTTATCTGGGGGAGGAGGAACCAACAAAATAAAAAAACCCTCAATGCTCACAACATGTGTGTGATTCTTGTTTACTGATGAGCAACTTTTACCTTGAATGCATTAGTAATAACAATAAACAAAATTAAAATTTTCTTAACCATTTCAGGCCACTACTGGGGAAATGCTGTTCTGTAGAATTCAACAAGAAAATTACCTACAGAAGCAAATCTTCTCTCATAAATGCAACAGTTTCTACCACTCATGCACTATCATTCTGCTTTTGTTTATCCTCTGTATAAGGGACATGATATATAAAGATTGTTACCTCCCAATAGATGCAATATTCCCGAGGGTATAAAACACTGCAAAGAGTACCAGCCCTTTCTTTGGTATCCATAGCAGACAACTACCCTAAAAAGGAACATTTAAAGAACGGGGAGGGGGGGAAGGAGGAAATTAATAGGTCATAAAGTGAAACAAATATATATCTCATATAAGTGTCACGTCACAAAAGAAATCTTAGGAAAACTTCAAGCCAAACTGCAGAATTACTCGTACAAAAATAAATCCCATTTGTTGGCATTCTTGTCATTCTTGTTAAGAGTCAGCGTATCGCATCTAACTGGAACCGAGTCAAACGTCTCCGCAGAGACTCGGAAAAATTAAGCAACAGCACAGAGGGAGGCTGTAATTATCTGGGCTCCGGAAACTCAAATACTGGGGAGATCAGGCGAAAAGTCCTTACCAAGATCGAGCACAGGCATCCGATCGCAAAACACGCAATGAAACCTTTCACTCGGGTGCCCCAACCTAACGAAGTCGCATCGATAACCTGGAAACGAGGAGACAAACAAAAGCGAAACTTGTTTACTGTAGCTCTTGCCTCCTACCAAGAGCGAAAACTTCCTCTCGGACGCCGCCGTGTCCTGTTCAGGCGCCCTCCTGAGTGAGAAGCGGGGGATGCCGACACCCCGGGACGCGCGGGGGCAGCGCTGGCGGAGCCCACGCGGGACCGCCCGCCCACGCCCCCCGCGCCTTCTCCGGGGTGGCCGCTCCGGCACCGCTCCGAGCGCACCGGGGAGGGGCGGCCGGGTCCCCCCGCCCTGCAGCGAGGCGGTGGGGGCGGCAGCGCAGCGCTACCTCGGCCAGGCCGCTCGGCTCCTCCGCGTCGCGGCCGCTCAGCACCCGCTTCAGCTTGTCCATGGCTCCACAGCTCGCCCGCCCGGCCGGCCGGAATGCCCTGCCCTTCCTTGCTCTTCCCCTTCCTCCCCAGGGACTACCAGCCCCGGCAGCCACCGCGCCCACCTGCGCGCCGCAGGTAGGGGAAGGCCGGCGGGGCGGCATGCAGGCTGCCGGGCCATGTAGTCCGGATGTGGACGGAGCCTGTCTCCTCCCAGCACTTTCCAATCCCATCACTTGGCAGGAGCAAAACTCGGTGAGGTTTTATTTCAATCCCACGACTGTGGCTCTTCTCCCGCTCGCTTTATTTTCGCCTCCTGCCAGCCAAAGTTATGTGGATGCAATGTCCCACTAGCAGCCAAAGGTATGTGGATGCAATGTCCCACTAGCAGCCAAAATTCAGCATCACAAGTAGTTATTTCAGTTTATTTTGCTCAGTTAAAAAGAAAACTGTAAAATGTTTGGTACGTTTTATTTAGCAACATACAAGGAACAATATAAACTGCCACATAAAACTCGACACAAAACAGCTGGAGAATCACCCCGCTCCCTCCCCCTTTAAAGTTATTTCTTCAAAGTGGTACTTTTCTGTGGAAATTTTGTGCCAGAGAGCTTGCTGTACACCAGTTTATATCGTTGCTTCTTGGTAATCTGCGTGGTGTAAGAAAGCCACAAAGTGCTCCAATTTTGAACTTGTTGTAACGGTAACTTCCTAAAGGTGATTAGGTTCTTGTGATTTCCCCAACACCTGTGTTCCACTGAAATGCACAGGACCCCTTAGAACAGATGGAGGGCATGTATCTAGAGTCAGGATACAAGTCCATTCCATAAAACTTTACCAACTGGTCATAAATTAGGATGTATGATGGACAACAGAAAATACACAGTATAAGCTACACATGCAGAAAGCCCTTTGCATTGCTCCGTCCCCACTCTGTGGCTTTCCCCCCCACACTCTATTTCAGCCCAAGGGATTTTAATGCTAGCATCACTGACTAAGCCCACATCACAGTTTGAATTAACAAATGCAGATATAGTTTCCTTCACGCCAGCAGTATATGAGCTCTGCTCCCAGTCATACCAGCTGTTAAGCGTCTTCTTGTAAGCTCTAAGGCATGTATACTAATATATGCTTAGAGTAAAAGAAGGGCCATGATTTACTTCTACCAGAAAAATATCTCTTTACACCCCCATTTGTTGTTCCCTTCCTTGCCACTCTTTCCTCACTTCCCTCTATCACTGGAGTGTATCCAAATAATTTTCTATTACCAAATGGATTTTATTCTCTTCCATGCTGTATTCATTTGCAGTCCTCTTCTTCACTGTGACACTAAAATGTTTAGGAAACAAGGGCAGGAAGATGAAAAAAAGCCATCAGAATTTAGGATTGTAATAGGGAACATAAGAGGACCTTGCTTCTATTTCAAAGTGGCCATAAAATCATCCACCCAGATCATGTCTGATAATTATCACAGCTGAAAACTTCTTTCAGAAACTGTTTGATCTCAGTTCTCTTCACTCATCCTATGGAACCTTTTTTTTTGCAGTAACCCTTTCCAAAGGATTCCAAAGATAAGGCTGAAGGTGTATTCAGAAAAAAAATATTCTAATCAATAATTCTGTACAAACCAATCTTTACAGTCTCTCTGTGAGGTAGGCATGTACTAACTCTCATTTTTACATACGGGGAATGGAGGCACAGAGAAATGTCTTCTCCACGGTTAGAGTAAATCAGTGACACAGGAAAAATTGCAGTTAGTTCCTGCCTTTCTACCTGCTGTAGAATTCACTAGACCAGGCTGCCTCAAATAAAAGTGAAATTGATGTGTTATTTCTTTTTACTAAGGAAACAGTCACTTAGATAGCAGTAGACTTTTTTTCCTCCCCCCTAAAAACCTCAGGGTCTTCGCTACATGAAAACCACTTCACAAAAAATATGGTTAAATACTAGGTTTTGTGGTGGGTTGCTTTTAGTAAGCCATGCAGTGTAGAATACAAAGATTTTTAAACAAAAACCCCAAGACATCAGAATGTGTACATGTTCTTATTTGCAAGCAATTTGCACCACAAGGATTGCTTTTCACTGCAGTTACTTGCTTCCTACACTGAGTGTCAGCAGCAAATCCAGACAAGCCTGCTTAGCTGCCCCACTCTTAGGCCAAATCAGTAATATATTGCAGGATTTCCAAAATACACGTATTTCAGTTTCATCTACAGAGTGTTGAAACCATGACTATACAAGTGATCACACTTCTATCAATGTAAGAACTCAGAAGAATTTTAAAATAAACCAAAATGATATATCTGGAATATATGTTAGCATCCTTCTAAGGCCATACAGGATCTCCTTTCTCAAACTGCAAATACGAGCATCCTTTAGGGATCAGATTTCCCCAGCATTAAGCCCCACTCCGTTTTGCAATTTCGCTATCAGGGCAGTAGAACAGTCACATGTGAGCACATCCAAGAGAAGGCCAGTGCAGGGCAATGCCTTTCCAGCATCATACATGACAGCACAGGGACCCCAAGTGAGAGCCCCAGAACTGCCCAGAGAGTTCCAAAACTGCCCAGCGAACTCCAGCTGACATCAGATTATACCAGCATTTCTGAAGAGACTTACCAGTGTCTGTTAACCTCCAGCTCTCCTCCTGCTCTGGAGTTAATGCCTCTCAAATAAATTTACCTTTATATAGCGTCAAACAAACGTATTTTTTCCCTACACTTAAACCTATCCTCAGATGAAATGAATATTCTTAGGTGAGACACTGAATCAGAAAATACAAGAAGTAACTTTGTTGGTTATCAGCAGAGGAAGCCAAACAAAATGGGTAGTTTAGGACTGGCAGATCAAACTAAATGAAGAGGAATTTCTTTTTCCTATGGATTATTTCTCAATAAAAATAAAATCATACCAGTTTTACAACTCTGGTAGCAGCAATAACAAAATCTTCATAGAAGTGTTAATGGATGGGGGTCCAGATAATACTCCTGCCTGCTTGGTGAACTAAACAGAACCCAGACTCCTAAAAGTCATTTTTCCAAATCTGTTGAAAACTGTAACTCACCACCAGTCTATCATCAACTCCAGACACAGATTAAAAAAAATCCAAACAAAAAACACCATTAGCAACACCTGCTTGAAATGTTTTCTCTCAAGGCTACAGAAAAATTAGCCAAATTCTTAATTCCACTAGTAGTGAAACGTCCCCCATGACAACAATTGTGATCACATTATCTCCAGTCTATTTTAAGTCCTTATAAAGTCACATTTATTTAGACTTAGCACATGTGGTTTCCAGTGACGTTTCTGGTTTAGGCTCCAGCTTCTCTGGGAATTCTAGTTTTTCACAGATTGTCTCCTTTATGGGTAGATACTGAGAGATCTCATTAGGTTCTGTGAACAGGGAAGGTGGAACGCTCTAAAAAGCAAAAATTTTACATTAAATGAGTGAAAGAAAAGAAGGGATAAGAAAAAGTATTCCAACCCCAAACTTTTATATTAATTACTTAATTAATTTACTTTTTAATTAGTTTATCATTTACTGGATGTAAATACTACTAGAGGCAAACTTTTTAGAGGCCAAGGAAAAATAAGGGAGAAGGAAAGGCACAAGAAAATTAAAGTTCAGGTGTCTGTCACGAATAAAAATCAATAGCTGCATCTCCACATGTACCACAAATTATTCTGAGCCATTACTAGAGTGCTAAGGTAACCTATTAACCTCAAATATTTGAGAAAAACTGAAAGAATCTATTACCAAACAGATCTTAATCCCTAATACTGCTTGGAAGCACACAACCAGCCATGAAATTTAACATCATGGGATGTGGAGTACCTGATTCTGCAGCTGAACAGCTCTATGAAAAAATAAAATAAGAAAAACATTAACTCAATAGTAGGGAAAGTGACCTAATTCCATTCCTTGTCATGTGATCTGAGCATTTACAAAATGCAAACCTGCTCTAAAATCACCAAAACAAAAGCTGCATAAGCAGAAAGGATTTTCCACTGTATTAATTCCAAACTGTACAAAGAAGGACTTCAAGTCACAGTATTTTCTATACTAACCATAAAACTAAAAAGCAGAAGGAAAATAAACAAAGTTCTAAAAATTGAATACCTTTAGACTTGATATTTTGCTTTCCCTGGATGTGTATTCTCGCAACATGTAGGTCTTGTCAGCCTAATGGAATAAAGCATTCATCTGGTATCAGTGCAAACAAGCATTTTAAATGTATTGAATTTAGTAAGCATTGGAATTTGATTGACTACATATTTTCATCTAGGAGAAGAAACGTACATTCAAATTCATGACGAGAGATGATAACAATGTTGTTTTTTTCCAAAAACCACCTGTGTGTATGCTTCAAAAAAAATTCTACGACTGAATATGCTTGTTAACTTTTACTCAGCTAGAACTCCTACACATCTACACAGAATTACCAAACCATAAATCTTAATATCCTGTATTATTTATGAGATACCAGCACTCAGTGTACTATGGACAGTTATTTGGAAGTTACACTTGCAGTCTAATTCTATTAGGTAAGACAAAAATAACATGCTTGGAGACAAGACAGTATTGAACTTTTTACTGCTGCCTATTTTTCCTCTTGTACTTCCTTCTCCAATCTGTGTCTGTAAAATGTATTTAAATGCTTACGTCACATGAGGGCTGCTCATACACCATGGCATCCAGCACCTGGTTGCTAGCTCAGCACCACCACAATAATAAAATACAATCAGAAGTTTTTGTGCCTCCAAACATCAGTAATAAATTAGAGGAATATCACCAGGTCACTGGAAGTGAAATGGCAAGGGAACCTCTCTAAAGTAAGTCATGATGGAAAGTAAGGATTTACCTCATGATGAAGCCTTGTATCATTCATCCTGATGAGTACCCCATCCACTCGCAAGAAGAACCTCAGCAGCACAAAAAAGCTGGAAGGCATAACTCTCTGCAAAAATAAAGATGGCCATTCAGCACCTTACAAAGGCTTACTGTAAGCATGTACTTGTCTACATCAGATATTCACAATGGGAGACAATATGAGAAGTTTTCAAGAATGAAGTCAAAATTTGGGCTGTTGATTTGCTACAGCTATGCCAGCTGGGCAGACAGTGTCTCAAAGGATTATTAGGCAGGATGCAGAAGGAGTGAAAAGATTGTTCCCTGGAGCAAATGGTAGATGACAAACGTTTCAAGACAATACCATTTCCAGTGAGATCATATTTTTAAGAGCAAGGATGATGAACTTTATGCTTTAAAGTTTAAATCCCAGAAGGAACAACATGCAAAAACGCAGCTGTGTTTTGCATTAATCAGCCAACTGAGTCCCCAGGTATCTTTTATACACCTCCTAATACTCACTACTTTCACACTCAAACTCGATACTCCATGATCATGGAGTTCATCTTCAAACAGGAGTACTTCTTCAAAAAACATAATTTGTTCCCTGGCTTTCAATTTCTCTGTATTTATGTGTTCTGTTGTAGGAACAACCTAGAGAAAAAGATTAAGAACAGTTAGCCTATTAATTTGTTGCCAAACTACATAAAGTTTGTCCTGATATTTTGAATTCCACAGTTTTAAAAAGGAAAAAGACACTCCAAATTTCTAAGAGAAAAAGTTAAAATCAAAGTTTCCAAGAGTTTCTTCTTGGAAATAACATCAAGCAAAAACTAGGAGTGGAAAATTCTGAATAAACTTCTCTCTGGGTACAGGCTCAGTAGGGTTTAAGCTGCAAAAAATTCTGCTCACTTTCTTTCAAATCATTTGAAGATGTCTTGTGTTTAACATATGTATGAGAAGTTCAGGTTTATAAAGAGATTTCCATGCATTTAGCACCTCTGCCCACCACACACCTTGAAAAAGATTCTAGTAAAGCTTTTCCATGGAAAGCAAGTACCTGTATGTTTTCCATCTCATGGTCTCCACAGACACTTCTGGTCTAAAGACTATGGAACACTGTTTATTTCTGAACTTTTAATTCTAGCACAACTCAAATGATCTCTAACTAAAGTGATTCTAGTGAATTAATATAGATTATCTGCTTAATAGCAAGCAACCTGTATGCAGTAAACAGAAGCTGGGAACTTCAGTCTTATTTTCACAAAAAATAAAGACATGGGAGGGCCTGTGAGTTTAAATATGAGGAGTTACTGAGTTACTGTTGCAGAAAAACATCAGGCCATTGAAAGCAGCCAGGTCAGAAAGCAGACAAACATGCAAGCAGCAGAGCATGAAGGCACTACAGAATGACACAGCTGATAGTTCTGCTGTATGTCAGCAGCTTGGGGCTCCAGAGCAGCCCCCAACAAGAGCTGAAACCTCTCATATGCTTTAATCCTAAAAACTTTAAGACACCACCCACCCCCATAATTAAAATAAGCCATGATTTGATTAGGATAAAATCATGAACTGAGAAACATGAGAAGCCCAAATTACACTTTGAAATCAGAAATTATGAAGCACAAACGATTTTACAGAAGCCTACTGAATGGTAAATGACAGCTTTAAAAAAAAGTTTGACTGAAGAGAGATGCAGTCAGCATTAACAAGAAGAAAGTGATTACCTTTAATGTTGCAGAATCTCCCAGCAAAGTTCCTTTGTAATCTGTTGTGTAAGTCCAGTCATACGGCTTGACAACTTCCTTACTGTGCTCAGTCTCACTCCTCAACAGTGAAAGAAAAAACAGCTTTGTAGTAATTGCTTTGTAGCAATTCTTAAAAAATTACAGCCTCACATAAGACTGTGCATTAGAATTCCCACATTGTTCCTAAAGAAAAACAGCAGCATTGTTTGAGCTGCAATCACAATGCCAAGACTTAATCATGGTTTCACATCTGTTTCCATTATGACTTTGAGAACAAATATGAGAATTCTAGATCTATCTCAGTTCTATGACTCAAAATAAAGACTTTCATGAAATATTGCTGAAAATTTTGTATTTCAAGATCAATTCTTCTTTAAGTAGGCAGAAAGTGATCTCCTGACAACACACAGCAATCATTAACACTGCAATTTAGCTTAGTTTTCATGACAACTTTGCTTTCTTTCTGTGCTTTATTTCCAGGTGTTCTACAGGTAATTCAATTTGGTAAATACTAAGCATTAGTAATTAGTTCTCATGCACGGTAATTGTTCTGCTTTATTCCTAAGGCTAAGATTTTGAACATGTACAGCACTCTGCAACACCACACAATACAGGCTTGTAATGCTTGAGGCCCTATGAGTTTGAATAAACAGAAACAGCACCAAGTTATGTTAAACTTGAAGTTTACTTTAAGAAAGCCACAACACAGCTGAAAATACAGCTGACTCAATTTAACAGAAAGGATGATGACAGCAAAGAAAAGCCAAGTGACTTCTGTGATTACACACTGTATCTAGGGTAGAACCAAATGCAACGTGGTCCTCAAGAGTTCAGTTTGTTCCTTTAACTAATGCCTGACAGTTTCATATACAACACACCAGTGATAAAATACTGTACCTGCTCTCTTGCCACTCCTCTGCACAAGCGACTTTGATCATACCTTGACAATTATTGACACATTTTAAAGCATCTGTAGCATTGAACTCAATTCCAAAACCATCGTCATGCTGTATTCTTAGGACATTGTCTCCAAACATCATCTCTGGCAGGGACGGCATGTGTAATTCATCAGCCAGCCTGCAGAGGAACATAAAAGAGTCATCAGTCAGCTACAGCTCAGTGAAAGCAGTCCTTGTTTTGGCATAAGGATTCTTTAGACCATGATAACTTAGAAGACACCACGTCAATATATCCTGCGAAACTCTGTTGTTTTCCCAGGCTAATCATTTCCCCTGAAATGCAGAGTCATTGATCTCAAGTGACTTTTCCACCAAAAAAGTATTCCTAAAACATTCCTTCACCATCAGGCTCAGACAAAATTCTCACACATGAATCAAGAGTATCTGAAAAGCACGCAGAAGCAATTTTCCACCTGTGCTAGCAAATCCCTGGATGGTCAATGGACAAACATCAGCAGGTGCTCAAATAAACTTTTAGGAACAAGGACTCATCATGAGCAAGTTTGAATTCACTGCACAGTGGTCCATACCTCCAAATTTAGAAGCTTACAAAAAAGATGCTTAAGACAACGCTGGCAGAGTATGTAAAAAGTGCAGAAGATACAACTGTGCTCTACTACTTTTTCAAGCTGGTAGAAGACCCCTACTGGTATGCTTTCTAAACATTTCCTTCCTACCTACCTGACTTACCAAGATCAAAAAGGAATACATGACATCTGGAGAGAATAAAGCTTTAGGAAATACACTCGTTTAAATGAGGGGACAGAGAAGAGTGTCCTAATCATAATGTTCACATTGATAACAAGGCATTCCCATACAAAAGTGGTTATTTCTGTAACCTTGAATACAAAAGAACAGTGTTAACCTAACTAAAATAAAAATAGCAAATTCACAGAGCTGGAGAATAAGATCCTACGTTTTTCCCAAAGAAGGCAGAATAACATTATGAACTTTTCCATTTCATGAAGTGTAGGAACCCTTGACCTGCAAAAACCAACTCCTGCATAGAAGAGTTCTTGGCTATGGCACATTTAATCCTTCACCTTTCCACACAGGTCACCAAGGGATTTTTACAATATATATTCGCCAGAAATAAAATTTCTGTAGCTACTAATACTGTTCCCCAAGCAATAAAAAAGATGGAATGGGTTGCTGTGACCCTGTTGCACTTCCTATAATTTGCCTCAGCCCACTGATCCAGCCTGTCCAGATCCCTCTGCTGAGCCTTCCTACCCTCCAGCAAATCAACACTTCCATGGGACTTGGGGTCATCTGTGAACTTATTGAGGGTGCACTCAATCACCTTGTCCAGACCATCAATAAAGATACTGAATAGGACTGGCCCCAATGCTGAGCCCTGGGGAACACCACTGTTGATGGGCCACCAGCGGGATGTAACTCTATTCACCACCACTCTTTGAGCTCAGTCATCCAGACAGTGTTTTACCCAGCAAATAGTGCACCCAGACAAGAGCAGCCAGTTCCTCATGGATGAATGATGAATGCCTCATCAGCCTCAGAAAAGATAAAAGAAGATAAATGAAAGTACATTTAACAAGACTAATGAGATTCCCATGTATGCTGAAATTTATTCCAGAAAACGAAACTGAAAAATATCTGCTAAATCCATCTGCCACTAAGGTCAGTTATGGCACAGCTGAACTCTCCAGTTCCACATTAGCAAATCTGACTTAAGTACTTGATGCTGAAACAGGAACATTTTCTCCAGTGATTTCATGGGATTGGAAATTCTTACTAGAAGAGAGCAAATTATAAATTTTTAATGAAAACCACTATCTATTACCAAGACGTGATATGAGCCATTAAAAATATCCTTTTTCAAAAGTAATTAAGAAACTGACTTCTAATTAGCAGGTCTCAGTTCACAGAGATCCAAAACCATTATAATCATACAATCACAGAATGGTCAGAGTTGGAAAAAAACTTAAAGTTCCAATTCCTCTGCCATGGGTAAGGACACCTCCACTTGACCAGGTCGCCCAAAGCTCTATCTAACCTGGCCTTGAACATCTCTAGGGATGGAGCATTTACAACTTCTCTGGGCAACACCTTCCAATGACTCACCATCCTCACAGTCAGGAATTTCTTTCCTAGGGTCCAATCTAAATCTCTCTTTCAGTTCGAATCCACTCCCCCTTGTCCTCGTACTACCTGCCCTTGTAAGAACTCCGTCTTTCTTGTAGGGTGCCTTCCGCAATCATTAAAACAAAATTTTGGAAATTACCTGTAACCCAAATGCCCCCAGTTTCTCCAGCCAGAGAATCAAGCTTGAAGAGAAGGAACAACACCGGTCCCACCGCGTAACTGGGCCGAACAGCGTCTCCCCCGCCCTGGGAACGCTCTGTGTTTCTTTCGCAAGGCCATCCGACGCCCCCAGCCCCTCGCTGTGAGGGTCGAGGCCGCAGCCCTGCGCTGGCTGCCCGAGCAGCAGCGACACCGTGCTGTGCTGTGTCGTGCTGTGCTGTCCCCCCCTGCACCCCCGACCCGGAGCCCGCCCCACCTCTCGGCCTGAGCCGACTTCATGATGTGCGTCCGGGTGGCGCTCAGCTTCCACGGCCCGAAGGTGAAGTCGCGCCGGCTGCTCTGGAAAACGGGATGCATGGCAGCCTCCTCTCCACCAAGCAGAAGGCAAGAGGCGGCGGAAGGGGCGGCGACGGCGGCGACGGCGGCGGCGACGCCCCCCTCCTCCCGTCTCCTCCCGTCTCCTCCCGCACAGCCCTCAGGGCAGCGCCGGCGCCCCCGGAACTGCCGCCCCGTGGCGTTTCCGCTTCCAGGAGCGCGCGCGGCGCGGAGCCCCGGCGGCGGTGGAATCCTGGGTTTCATCGGGAAGAGCCAGCAGGGCGAGTCAGCGGATCCTGCCCTTTTGCTCGGCTCTAGTGAGCCCACGTCTGCAGTGTTCTGTCCAGGACAGGTCAGACACTGAGCTCCTGGAGCGAGTCCAGCGGAGGGCAATGAAAATGATTAAGGAACTGGGGCATCTCGGTTAGGTGGAAGGGCTGAGGGAGCTGGGCCTGTTCAGTCTCGAGAAGAGGTGGCTGAGAGGGGTCCTCATCAATGTGTACAAATATCTAAAGAAGGGATTCCAAGAGTATGGATCCAGGCCCTTCTCGGTGGTGCGAAGCAACGTGACAAGAGGCAATGGGCAGAAACTGATGCACAGAAGTTCCACCTGAACATGAGGAAGAAGTTCTTTACTGTGCAAGTCACCGAGCACTGGAACAGGTCCAGAGAAGTTGTAATGTCTCCACCACTGGCGATATTCCAGACCTGTCTAGACACAGCCCTGTGCCATGTTCTCGGGGATGACCCCGCTTGATTTGGGAGGTTGGACCAGATGACCCATTGTAGCCCCTTCCATCCTATCCAGTCTGTGATTTTGTGAGGTGATACGGGGGGCAGGTGCATGAGGGATGCGGTTCCACACTTTGTGCTGCTGGAGCCACTGTGGGGAGAGTTGGCTCTCTAATCTCCTCTGCCCAGGATAAAGAGCCAGCAAGGTCACCCAGGCCCCTGTTCCAGCAAAGCTGGGCTGGAGAGGCCAGCAGAGAATGTTTGTGTGCCCCACAACTACTTGTGTCTGCAGCCACTTCCCCATAGGTACCTCACTGAGAGCAGTAGGACAGCTGGATAGGAGCAGTTTTGGGGAGCTCTGAAGCCTCTAGTAGCCCTGGATCATCTCCATGGCTGCACTCACACTTGCAACAAGCATTACCTGGCTCCATCACACAGGTGCCCTGTGCTGTGTTAAATAGTACACACACGTGTGTGCACTCAAAATCACATCTGGGCAAGGTTAGAAGGGGCCACAACGGATCATCTGGTCCAACTTCCCTGTTCAAGCAGGGAGTACATGGCACAGGATTGTATCTAGACAGGTCTGGAATATCTCCAGTGAGGGAGACACTACTACCTCTCTGGGCAACCAGTGCACAGTCACTTGCACAAGAAATAAATTCTTCCTCACATTCAAGTGGAACTTCTGTGCATCAGTTTTTGCTCATTGTGGATTCTCTTGTGCTGGTTTGATATGTTTTTGAATGCTGTCCAAAGCTGGTCTTTTTAAAATGTCAAAATGCAATGGTGTGGAAAGCTTAAAAAAGTCCTGTAGAAAAATATCAGTAGAACTGGTTGAAAATGATACATCAGCTTAGTATTCCAGCACTGACGAGCGGATGCTTGTCTGCTTTGCTGCGTCACAGAAAGAGCAGACTAGCTCCCTATGGACTTGCCCTGGCACAGGAGCAAAACACAGAGTCCAACTCCTGCTGTTGGAGCATTGGAGCGAACTGAGGCAGCAGCCACCCGAAACTGATGTCCACAGCATTAAAAACTCCACAGAGCAATCAAAACATAGCACAGCTCACATCAGGGCAGTGACCCGCTGCGCTCAAGAGCATTACCAGGGAAAGGCAGAAACTAGAGATGCACAAGCATGGCATTTAATTATTGTTCACCCTTTATATTGACATCTATATCCGATGTCTTGCTACATGCGGGGAAAAAAAAAACTCTTCCCCAAATTTTCTCTGTGTTACTTTTAATAGATTTTTGGTGTATAGGAAGTCTAGCACTTAGGCTCTACAACTGCCTGGCACTACAAGCCGAGATAAAATGACTTTACCTCATCCACGTAAAATACTTTTCGCCCGCCTTTTAACAGAGCTCCCGGGAAGTGCGCGTACCGCCTCGGGGCGGCCGCGGAGAACATGGCGGGCGGGGAGGGGGCGCGGCGGGCTGAGGCGATGGGGCGGGACGCGGGAGGGGCCGCGCCCGTAGCGGGGCAGGCTCGGGCCGCGGCGGCTGAGGGAGTGCCGGGCGCCCCAACCAAGAACGTCCCGCTCCGGCGGAGGCGGGCGGTGAGTGCGGAGCCGGGGAGGGGGAGAGGCGGCGGGACCCGCTGGGCGCCGGCGGGTAGAGAGGAGGCGATGGATGCCCGGGGCGGAGGAGCCTGTTCCAGCCCTTTGTTCGCTGCCGGAGGGAGCGCGGGGGCAAAATGGCGAAACCCCCCTTCCCCGCCCTGTTTCCAACTCGGTCCCACCCGCTGTGTGTGTGCGGGAAGTCTGGCCGCGCTGCCCGCGGGCGGGATGGGATGGAATGGGATGCTGTTCCCGCCCCGGGTAGCCCTGCCCCGGGAGAGCCACCTCTGCTAAGAGGCCGCTTTCCCCCGCGGGGTGCAGCAGGGCCGTGAGGGGACGGGGAGCTCCAGGTGCCCCCGGGTGCATCGCTAATCGCAGGGAGCGGCCGCGGGGGAAGCCGTCTTTCCAAAACGCGCTCCGGCCAAAAAGTGTTGGAAGGGCACGCAGAGGTGGTGCAGGCATGCTGAGAGAGAAAGAAACTCGAGGGGAAGTGTTTTTGCACACATCCTCAGTCAGAGGCTAGGGAAGAGCTAAGTTATGTCTTTACGAAGCATGGCCCAGTAATGTCTTTAATTATGTTTTTAGGAAAGTACAGATAAAAATGGAAAAAAGGCGTCTTTCCAGACTGACAGTGCTGCCTAATGCCACAGCAGCCACGCAGATGGAAGCATTTCTGTGAGTACTCCCGGCTGTCTGGGACCCATGTCTGGCACAGTTGCAGAATTAGCTGAGATAACTTTCCTGAGTCCCTTACTTCCCAGAAATGCTAAAATCAACTTTATATTCACTTGTAGGCTCTTTTACTTTTTTTGGTCTGCATATTTGCATATGCTGTCCTGCAGGTGGGTGAAGACTGAATAGGTAGTAAATGCCATTTGGAGGCAGCAGGGAAAAGAGGAATTGCTAAGGAATTGAGAGAAATAACAAGGTTTCACAAAATGAGTCTGTGAATCAATGGGATGGATACTAACACTGAGAAGTCAAGTGTTAAAGGTTCTCAAGCATTTCTGTAGTGTGGACCTCATCTTAATGCAAGGAAGTGTCTTTCAGATCTCGTGTACAGAAAGCCAATTCCTCCAGTCCTTTGGTGTTGGCATTAAAATACAATCAGCACTGTAGCTAAGGTGATTATGAACGTGGAGAAATGATGTTGGGAGAGTACATGCAGTGGTCCCTGAGTCTTTGAATGCTACTTAGCAACTGTTAAGGAGGAGTCAGCAGGGTGTACTAGCCAGGCATCCATAGACCACCAAATGCTGTATAGGCAGAATACAAGGTAACTCTCGGGGTAGGCAGAATTTTTTTTAAAAGTGACTTTCTTTAAAGTGAGAGAAACAAAGGCTGATAGTGAAATTCTTGTTTCTTCACAGCCTACATGAAGGGGCTGGTAAGTAGGACTTAGAAATAAGTAAGATATGTAGAAAATTTTAAAGTAAAATATGCCTATTTCCTTTCTTATTTCCCCCCCTTCACCTCTTCTTGTCTTCCCTGTTCTAGGCTTGGTGTTGTCCTCTTTGGTGTGCCCACATGCAATGTACTGCCCCTTCGCTTGCCCATCTAAAATATGCAGTTTCCTGCATACTACAGGTAAATTTTTACAAAGGCAAAAGGGCCTCCAGTCATTGGAAAGAGTTTGAAGAACTATTACCTGAATGTTTCTGAGCGTTGTTCTGCTTCTAGCTGCTCAGCATGTCTTGGCTGCTCCAGGTGTGCATGCTCTGACCATGAGCAGCAATTCCTCCCTCGGCAATGGGAAGGGCCTGAGGAACCTGACCACGGAGGAAGATGGGGCAGTAAGAGTCACCGAGTCCATTGCTATAATTGTCATTGCCATCTTCATCTGTTTGGGCAACCTGGTGATTGTTGTCACTCTGTATCGCAAGTCATACCTTCTCACCTTGAGCAACAAGTTTGTGTTCAGCCTGACCCTCTCCAACTTTCTGCTCTCTGTGCTGGTGCTGCCTTTTGTTGTTACCAGCTCCATCAGGCGAGAATGGATCTTCGGGGTTGTTTGGTGCAATTTCTCAGCCCTGCTCTACATGCTGATCAGCTCAGCCAGCATGCTCACTCTGGGACTCATAGCTATAGACCGGTAAGCTGCACTTTGGTAATGAATTCTGCTCCTCTCACAGAGTAACTCACTGCCTGTTCATAGAGTTGAGAAGCACTTCAGAGGGTAACATGGTGTACTGCTGGAGTAGCATTTTTCAACCCCTCATGAAATTTTGATGTGGAGCAAGAGAAAGTGATACCATCAATAATGGAAAATGCAGACATTCATCTAGAGTTCTTTAAAGCTCTTGATGGTATAATAACGTACTATTTGATAAACGTGAAATAGTGACTTAAAATTCCAGGTTATACTCTAAGCATACACTCACACATAGGAACAGATTTAATGGTTGCATGTGTGCCTTCAGCCAAGTTTGACAGTCTTCACTGCAATGATACCTACTTTTACATGTAACTGTTTCTAGAAACAGGGTTTCTGAGGCTGTTGGAAGAAAAAAGAACTAGATATTAGCATCATTAAAGCATGTTCTTTTCTTTATTGTATGTCTTTTATGCTCCTATGGACTACTTCTTTTCTTGCCCTGCAGGTACTATGCTGTGCTGTACCCGATGGTTTATCCGATGAAGATAACGGGGAACAGAGCAGTGGTAGCTCTTGTGTACGTGTGGCTGCATTCCCTTATTGGCTGCCTCCCTCCCCTTTTCGGCTGGTCCTCTTTGGAATTTGACCAATTCAAGTGGATGTGTGTGGCAGCCTGGCACAAGGAGGCTGCCTACACGGCCTTT